GGGTTACTTTTATAGACATTACACCAGTTAATCTGCCTGCCCATTGCCCTAAACTATCCTAAATGAGATTGCAACATCTGCCTGCTGACTTTTTAACACTGAAGGAAATATCTCCGAGAACCAGAGTGCAAAGGGTTGAGCACATGGCTTGCCTGGTGCGAGCAGCCATTGATCTCCACACATGTATGCCCCGGGAACACTGCTGGGAGCATCCCCAGCACTGAGCCATGAGCAGCCCCTAAGCACCACAGAGTATGCAACCCCTCCAAATGAACAACAACAAAACATCCTAACTTAAATACAGTGGGCTGTTGGGGTTGAAGAGGACACTCGGTGTCTTTGGCTGAGCCAATCTTCAACAGTCGTATAAGATCTGTTGCAGGGCTGAGAGGGGGACTGGGTACTTGCTCTGCATGGCGTTGATCCTGGTTCCACTCCTTGCACCATATATGGCACTCTCTCCTGAACACTACCAGAAGTGATCTCTGAGCACAGGCTTAGGAATAGCTCCTGACAACCTCCTGGTAGGTCCCCAAAGCCCAGCCCACAACAAAACCAAAAACCAAACCAAACCAAACAGAAACCCAATACAAAGGCTAGTTCACATGTTGTACATATACTACCAGGAACAACCCTGGCCCCTGCCCCACACATCAGCAAAGCACCAGAAGTAGGTCCTGAGCACTGCTAAGCATGGTTCACAGACAAAAAACAAAAACAGACCATCTGTCTCATCAGTGTCCAGTTCTGTTGATATCATGGCCAAAGATTTCTACCTTGCTGGCATGGGTTCCCTGCTCTTCCCTCTGCCTCCTGTCATTCTACTGTTAATGAACTACTTTTTTGGTTGTTTTTGAGTTATACACAGTGGCGCTCAGGAACTACTCCTGGTTCTCCGGGATTGCTCCTGGCAGTGTTTAGGGTACCAAGCAGTGTCAAGGATCCAACCTGCATCTCTTGTGCGCAAAACAGACGCTCAATCCCTTGAGCCATTTCTGTCCCACAGCCCCATGCTTCTAGACCTATGAGTGGAAGCTGAGACATCAAGCTCAGAAGTTTTCTGGGATTACTGCTGATTTTGCAGCAGTGAACTAATACAGGGCATCCACCACAGTGACCCTTCAGTCCCGGCGTTACTGTGACCTGTGAAACCACCATAGTGCCAGAAGCATTTCATTCATATCAAAGAGAGAAATGACTCATGACTATTAAGAGCCCTCATTTCTACAACTGATGATCAGGTCACAGCTAATATGTGTGACTAGTGACTTCTTTTTCTTTTGCTCAATAGGTCCTAGTCCCCAGCCTGGAGGAATGGCCTGACCTTTTGGCAGGGTCTGATTAGCATTCCATTATGCCAAGAATGCCATTTGCATTCTAAAGTGGGTGGTTGTAGTTTTCCACTGACTTTCATCCACGGATTAGAGTATTATGTCCCAAAGGTGTTCCTGCATTCCTCCGTCCCAGTTTTTCAGTGATGAGGATCAAAACCAATCTATAGCCAGCACTTTGCCTGCTGACTCAGTGTATCCAGAGGCTGGATGGGAATTTCTGATTCCAGTTCCATGGAACTGATAAAACCATTTCCCTCTTTGAAACTAAAGCCTCTAGACCAACAGAGGCTAAAATGGCAAGAATGAGATGTGAAAGTTTTACTACTGGACTAGTAGGACTAAAGGAGAAACTTTTTTTTTTCCATTTTATCCCTATATCCCTAAACTCCAATATTTGGGGGTCACTGTCACTGTCACTGTCCTCCCGTTGTTCATCAATTTGCTCGAGCGGGCCCAGTAACGTCTCCATCATGAGACTTGTTACTGTGTTTGGCATATTGAATATGTCATGGGTAGCTTGCCAGGCTTTGCCATGCGGGCGAGATACTCTCGGTAGCTTGCCGGGCTCTCTGAGAGGGGCGGAGGAATCGAACCCGGCTCGGCTGGGCCGACTGCGTACAAGGCAAGCGCCCTACTGCTGTGCTATTGCTCCAGCCCGAAACAAACGCTGCCCCCCCGTTGTTCATCGATTTTGCTCAAGCGGGCCCAATGATGTCTCCATTTTGAGACTTGTTGTTACTGTGTTTGGCATATTGAATATGTCACGGGTAGCTTGCCAGGCTTTACCGTGCGGACAAGATACTCTCAGTAGCTTGCCAGGCTCTCCAAGAGGGGTGGAGGAATCGAACTTGGCTTGGCCTGACTGGCAGCACACAAGGCAAACACCCTACCGCTGTGCTATCGCTCCAGCCCATATTTGGGATATGGATGGCAATTTAGAGCTTATAGCACATTCTAGAGGATGCTACCCAGCCTCAAAGTGTCACCCTAGCTCGCTCTGAACTGAATCTTCCATTTGGGTCACAGTGAGTGTGCTAAGTTGCTATCTGGAGCATATGCTTTGCTCAAAGGAGTCCTAGGCTTGATCCTGGCACTGCATGGTTACCCAGTGGGCTCTTACTCCACAAAAGCCATCTCGCCATCTTAGGTAGTTGCTTCAAGATAATTAGAAATCAGGCCAGAGAGATAGTACAGTGGGAAGGGTACATGCCTTGTATGTAGCTGACCCAGGTTCAAACCTCCAGAACTTGATAGAGTCCCCTAAGCATCACCTCCAGGAGAGATCTCTGAGCACAGAGCATAGCCAGGAGTAGGCCCTGAGCACCACCAGGTGGGGCCCCCAAACAAACAGAAAAAGTAACCTGGGGGTAGGAGGGTAGTTAGACAGAAGCACAGGAAGGCAGGTACATGTGGTTGCATCAATAGTGACCCTAGTTTGAATCCATAGCACCTCCTATGGCCCCCTGTGCACCGCCAGGTGATACCTGAGCACCATTGGATGTGAGCCCCCCCAACACCAAAATAGTAATAATAATAATAATAATAATGAGGGAATGTGGGTCAGTGAGGGATTTCTGTGTGCATGTACTCACTGGAGCATTTACTGTGCATAACGGTGACGGCAGATGATGTCGGCTGTAAAGTCACGCACAGGCAGAAAGTAAACCTAAGTCCAGAGTAAGTGTCCACTGCAGCAAGAACAAAGCTCTGCCTCTTCCGGAACGTGAGTGGTCCAAAGGGCTCAAGTTACGGCTGGTGACTGGGCAAGTCCCTTGAGCAAGGCAGCTGTTAGGGGTTCTAGGTTGTAGCTTCCTTGGGTGAAGTCCACATGCTGTAGCCAGAGTCAGGGCCACCTTGGTGAGCGCCTGCCCATTCTGCTGGACTCAGGCCTGTCCTTTGTGCCTATTACCACGATGCTTTGTTCATGAGTCCACAGGAGTGACTGAACAATGACACCCTCACGTATGTTGTCCTACCCACCCCCACCACTCCCTGGGTACTGAAATACCCCTTCAGCCTTTGGGGAGCTTTCCTGTGGTACATACATGTGGCTAGCCTTCCCTTCACTTCTCTTTATCACCAACTTCCCCACCATCCCTTCCAAGCCTGACCACCCATCCAGACTGCTTTGGTTCAGACCCCAGTCTTCTGGGATGCTCCTCTATCCCAGTAAAGCACATACATGCATTGTTCCATGTCTGTCCCCTGCGAGGGACAAACCATGCAGAGCTATGTGAAAACCAGGCCCAGGCCATTTCTTCCTCAGTTGACAGAGCAAAGGGAATTCACGAAGAAATGAATGTGGATCTAGAGAGGAGGTAACAGAAGGCTTTAGGGTAAGTCTGGAAAACTGGATGTGAAGGTCACAGGGCAAGAGATTCATCTACTCAGGCAGGAGTGGCAGGGCAGCTTAGTGGTGGAAAGGGCTTGAGGTCTCACGCTTCCTTGGAATTCATCCTTAGATCCTATTCCATTTGTTTTGTGGTCATATCTGGCTATGCTCAGGGCCGACTCCTGGCTGGGTGCTCAGGGATCACTCCTGGTGGTTCTCAGGGGACCATATGTGGTGTTGGGAGATTGAACTAAGGTCAGTCACCTGCAAAGAAGTGGCAAAATATCTTGTCCTCTCTCTCCAGTCCTATTTATTTTTGGCTTGGGAATCATTGCTGGAGGTGCCTGGGGACATGTGCAGATGTCAGGGATTGAACTCAGGCCTCATGCATAAAAAGCATATGGTCTGGCTCTCTGAGCTATTCTGATACTGAGACTCCCATTGCTCTGCCATCAATGCCTTGACTCAAATGGAAGAGAGTCCTTGAGGGCCAGAATCCAATGGAGTATCAGGAGGACCCACAGGGCTCAGTAGTAACTCCTCACGACTTTTTCTCTTGCTACCCAGCCAATGGTTCCTTGGAAGCAGCAGAACACCATGCTATGGAACGTAGATCCAGCACAGGCTTCCATTTCTCTGTGTGGTGCTCAGAAGTGCTCTCAAGTGCTCTCCTCACCAGCAAACTCAGGAAAAGTGTGTTGTGTCTCTGCTGGAGGCTGCGGAGGCCCATTTCAGTCTCAGTTCTGAAGGATCTCGCCATGTCGGCCCCAACTGCTTGCAACTTCTTCCTGACATTCCTCCGGAACAAGGTGGATTTGGAGGCACCATCTCGAAGATGGATGGGGGAAGCAGCATTTCATTCCTGACATTGCACAGAAGCTGGTAGGGCCCTGTGCAGACCTCAAGTCACCAACACAGATTACTGAGCTCCGTTATTTAATTTAAAGGACTGTTACAGCCCATTTGAACAAATGATTTATGCTTCTCTAGCTTCAAGGAGTTACTGCTAAGCAAGTAAGGATGCACACAAAAATATATCAGGAGGAATTACTAGAGCACTGTTAGTAATAGTGACAAACTACAAATTACTTAAAAGAAACAGATCAGGGGCTGGAGAGATAGCACAGTGGGTAGGGCGTTTGCCTTGCACGCGGCCAACCCGGGTTCGATTCCCAGCATCCCATATGATCCATTGAGCACGCGAGGAGTAACTCCCGAGTGCAGAGCCAGGAGTAACCCCTGTGCATCACCGGGTGTGACCCAAAAAAAAAAAAAAAGACACAGATCATTGGGCATCTGGTTCATAAATTATAGAATACTCAGAAACCATTAAAAAGTATTATAGAAGAATATTTATTTAGTTTGTTTTGGGGTCAGCCCCAGAGGTGCTCAGGGGCTATTCCAGGTTTGATTGTTGGGGGTTGCTCCTGGCAGTACTCAGGTAACCAGGTGGTACTGGGCATCAGACTTGGGCCTCCTGCATACAAGGCACCATTAATCTATCCCTTTGGCTTTAGAGAAGAATATTACTGACATAAGGAGGTGTATTGGATATACTAGTAAGTGAACCAAGAGGACAGTAAAATAACAGTGTTGATTCCCTATACGTATCCACAGACTTGCAGATTTATGGTGGCTTGACACGCATTATCTTGACTCTGATGTGGCAGCCACATGCATCTATGAACCAGTTAGAACCTTGACCATACCCCATGGTGTGCTGGTCTCCTGCTGAATGCTGGGTGGTGGTGAGCTGGAGTTCCTAGGCAACCATGTTGGGAGTTAATGACAGATACCCTTCCACGTGCTGGCCAGGTGCCCCTGCATCTCTGAGGACAGATTGAGGACCCTGGCTTCCCACCACCTGCATGGATATAGTTCAGCACCAGTCACAGTTGCAGGCCTGAAGGGTTTTCTACTGACTTGTTATCAGTGCTGAGAACTCAACCAGCCTTGCTTTCACCGTCAATACAGCATTAACACAGTATAGCAAGTAATCAATACATCATTATCAAGCAGGCTTTTGCCCTAGATCCTTAGCTAGCCCAAATGTAGGCTAGCTAAGCTATGACGTTCAATAGGCTAGGTGTATCAAATTCATTTTTAATCTAAGACATTTTCAACTTACAATGGGCTTATATCCATATTGGAATAAGGGCAGAACTGTAGCTATAGGAAACAAACAAAGGATATATACCATGGAGATAATAAGAATGGAGAATAGAGATCTTTCTTGATTGTCTCCCTTTCTCCTATGAAATAATTTGCTTTTCTTCTTTTTTGGTTTGTTTTTTAGTAAAAAAAAAAAAAATCAGGAAACAGGATGATTAGCAACAGCAGGTATGGTGCTTCTCTTGCACATGGGTGACCAAGTTCAACCTCTGGTTCCCCATATGATTCCCTGAGCTCTGCCAGGAGTGATCAAAACCAGGAATAAAACCATCAGTGCCAAGAATAAACCCTGAGCACAGCCAGGTATGGTCCAAAAATTTAAAAAAAAAAAAGTGAATCTAGTTCCATCCTTCATTATCATGAGAAAAAAATCCCCTAAAACGACTCAGAGGTGTTTGAGAAACAGAAGAGACCCTCAGGTTGCCAGAGGCCACGAGTCTGTTCTCAGGGAAGCTGGAGGAGCCCTCAGTCATCACAGTCAGACCTGGGGCAGCAGCAGGTCCCTCCTTCAGCTTTGGGAAGCTCGCCTCCAGCGCGGCCAGCCTATTCTTGCTGCGTCACCAGCCTCATCATCTTCAGAGCCATGTCCCCCTGGTCAGACGGAACCTAGAACCCAGCAGCATTTGAGTCAATGCTCCAGGCTGTGTTCAGGGGACACACCAGGGCACCCTATACCCCACTCTCAGGAAGTGTGCCGCAGCTCTGGGCATCCTCCCCCCACACACACTCTTACAGGGGTCTCAGAAGCCAAAGGAAAAGCCTGCAGCAAGTGAATGAGTCAAGGGGAAGAGAAGACAAGACCGCCCACCGGGGGAACAGAAGGAAGCAGCTCATGCTTTAAGAGGCCTGATGCGAAGCAGGCACAAACACACAGGCAAGAGGCACGAACACACAGGCAGGAGGCACGTCAGGATGCAGGGCTGGGTGAAGAAGCTACTGCTGGTACCTAGCTCCTCCACGGATCAGTACCTTCCACTTGGGGCTCAACTTCAGGGGTGCACGAGGCCCTGTTCTTCCTCTTCTCAACTTTTGATTTGGTTCCTCTTAGATTCCACAGTACAGGATCCCTGTCCCCTCACCCCTTTCCACCCCCGAATCCTGAGCCTCCGAGAACAGATACCTGTCTCCCGGTCCACACGGGCCCAGTTTTCCCATTCAGTTGTCTTCCGGACTGCCTCCCACTTGGCTATTCTACAAGTTAGCCCGGCATCTCTCTTTTCTCCTCTGGATTTGCATGAAAACCTTCCAACCCCCTCCTCTGCCCTCTCCCCCAGTTTCATCCTGGACCTCTGCTTCCAGAATGATATTTCTGGGGCCAGTCCAGGTCTTTTGCTCTTTTGCTCACACCCCTCGACGCTGCCTGCCCCCGCTGCTTTAGGAAAGCTCTTTCAGATGGGGCACACAGCCTCCCAGCCCAGCCCCCTCCGGTGCCCCTGCCCTCCCCAGGTCTGGCATGCTGCCCTCCTGGCTTCCTCATCCTTCCTGCCCATCATTGGGCCTGGGTCTCTGGACTCCCCTACCCAGCCGGGCCATTTCCTTACACCATTTCTCACACCCTGTTCCCAGTCTCAGCCTGTCTGCGCCCTGCCTGGGGCTTTGAGGGGGCTGAGACTGTATACCTCTGTCTGATTCACCAGCACGTAAGAGAGCAAAGTATAATTCTGGTTTCTCTGAGTTCTTATAAGGAGACTCCGCAAGAGGGGCTGTGATACCAGGCCTGAGACATCCCCAGAAGCCCAGTTCCTCTCTGCCAGGGTTCTCCTCCCTGACATGAATGACATCTAGGTAGCACTTCTTTGTTGGGGGGCTGTTCTGGGCTCGGCAGGGTTTTGTCAGGATCCCTGGCCCCTTCCAGGTGGATACCTCCCATCTTCTTTCTAAGCGGTGACAATGAGACAGTCTTTAGATGTGCCAGAGTCCCCTAAGAGGGCACTTTAGTCCCCCACTCTCTCCGAGCATTCCCTCAGTCATCCAAGAAAACAGTCATGCCTGCTGCATGCAGAGAGCTGAGGGAACTGAAACTTGGGGTTCCTGCACAACACTCAGCCAGGCAGACATGCACACAGACAGACATACAGACAGACACACACACAGACACGCACACTGACAAACACACAGACAGACATGCACATAGACATACAGACACGCACATAGACAGACACAGACACAGACACAGAAACGCACACAGACAGACATGCACATGGACATACAGACATGCACACAGACACATACACAGCCACAGACATGCACATATAGACACATACATACATACATATAGACATGCACACAGACAGACACGTACACCAACAGAAACACAGACAGACATGCACACAGACACACAGACATACACACAGACACAGAGACACACAAGACAGACACGCATACCGACAGACACACAGACATGCACATAGATATACAGACATGCACACACACACACATAGACATACAGACAAGCACACACAGACATACATACAGACACGCACAGACAGACATGCACACAGACAGGCAGACACGCACACAGATACACAGACAGACAGACATACACAGACAGACATACCAACACGCAGACGGACAGAGAGAAATGCACACAGATACACATACACAACACACACACACACACACACACACACACACACACACACACCCCACATGGCCTAGTCTGAAACAAAAGTAGATGTTAGGGTCAGAGAGAATACAGCGAGTAGAGCGCTTGCCTTGCATGTGGCTGACTGGGGTTTAATCCCCAGCACTCTGTATGGTCCCCCAACTCCTGCCAGGAGTAACTCCTCAGTGCAGGGCCAGGAGAAAGCCCTGAACAACACTGGGTGTGGCCCCAAAACAGACCAAACAAACAAGCAGATGCAGAGCTGGTGAGAAGCTTAAAGGACTGAGCTTTGCATGAAGAGACCCAGGTTCCATCCTGGTCCCCCAAAAGCACTGCTGGGAGCAACCCCCAAGCACCAAGCCAGGAGCAGCCCTTCTCCCAACCAAGACACCATCGGAGGTCTCTCCCAAACCCAAATCAAACCCAAGCGGCTGCTCACCATGTGCCCAGCTCTGAGGATCCAGTAGAAGGCCAGGTTCTTGTAGGACTTGACAAATGCTGATGTCTCTGGAGACTTGGGGTCAGCGTACAGTGGCTTCCACCTCAGCTGATGGAACTTGGGCAGCTCTGGCCACTTGAGCTTCCGTATCCAGGCCTCCTGACCTGGGGGGAGGGAAGGGCCCAGCACTGACCACTGATAGGACAGAGCAGACTGCCAGGCCCTCCCCCACCACAGGTCTCCAAGATGAATGTACCCCAGAATCACCTGAACAGAGTGATGCTTGTGCCCCTGCCGCCCTCCTCCCCCCGCAGAGATGACCGTGACATCACAGCCCTGGCCATGCTCTGGCCCTCAGCCCCATGCCAAGGATACCACAAAGACATGAGGGGTTCGAAAGCTTGCCCGGAGATTCAAGTAAAACTGGAGGTTTGAGGACGTCAGTCCTAAATTACTCTCTGCATAAAACTTACCCCGGATCTTATTAAGAAAAAGGAAAAAGGTGATCCAGGGAGGCAGCACAGTGGGAAAAGCACTTGCCATCAGCCAGGTTCTAACCCTGGCATCCCCTGAGGTCCCCGGAGCCCCAACAAAAGTGATACCTGAGCTCAGAGCCCGGGGGAAGCTCTGAACACTCCTCCTTGTGTTCCCAAAATCACAAAATGGGCTGAGAAGAAGACTGAGAGGGCCAAGCACACGTTTTCACACAGGTGACTTGGGTTTGCTATGCAGCACGGCACAGTTCCCTGAGCACTGCCAGATGTGGCAGGTGTGGCGCCCCAAATAAAAACCAAACAAAAAGGTGGCAAACCTGGGTTCGATCCCCAGCATCCCCTATGGTCCCTGAGCACCACCAGGAGTAATTCCTGAATGCAGACAGAAGTAAACGCCGAGCACTGCCACGCGTGACCCAAAAAGCGAAAAAACAACCAACCAACCAAACAAACAAACAAACAAACAAAAAACCACCAAAAAACCCAAAAAACAAAAACCCCAAAAACATAAAGCTGCAAAGTGGCACTCAGCAGTTTAGGGTGGGCCGGGAGACAGTTCCAGCAGCTCCAGCATCCATGGACAGGCCACCAGGAGACTTAGCAGCAGGGTGAGGCCACTGTCACCCTGGAGGTGACAGGACTGTTCGTGGACAGAGGGGTCTGAACAGGGCTAAGCCAACCATGGAGGGGCGCATTATGGAGCCTCCTCATGTTTTCCTCATGCCCTTGGCTTTCAAACCACATAAACACATGGCCACTGCCCTGGAGACACTCCTCAGCGCCTGGCCTTAGGTTTTCTGAGACCCACCTCCAAGCTTCCATCCCGCACAGTGGGGTAGGGACTCTGCAAAGCCCATGGTTTCCAGTCGGGGGGAGGGGGGTTCAATTCGAAATCCACCATCTGCTGTGACAGCACAAAATGAGGCTCCCCTATTCCTAAATAGCACCCTAGCCCCATGGCCAGGAAAAATGGCTTATTCTGTGGTGGACGCAGGTATCCTTCCTGTCCACCACACCCCGGTCTTAGATGCTGGGAGGGCCTCAGGCATCTCTCATCTCTTCAAGGCACCAAGGGGAAGGGCGGATGCTTGGGCGGGTTGATGGCCTCTCCACCAGCACGGCCGATGGTCCCCCATGCAGGGTCCTCCTACCCATCGTGTCCACTATGAGGTCCAGCTGTCCATTGTACACTGTCACATTGACCCCAGCTTCCAGCAGCTCGTCCACGATGTTGATTGCAGGCTTCATGAAGTCCCCTTGCATGTTCTCAAAGACGGAGGTGGCCTGGCCTGCACCCAGGAAAGAGAAGCAGCAGCTCGTAGTGCTGGCGATTATGGCACAGCTCCTCCCAGGCACCGAACACAGCTGCCCCCAGCACCAGAAATCTGCAGGGGAGCTATGCGGGGTGTGGGGCAGGGAGAGAGATAGGATGCTCAAGCCCACCTCTCAGTCACTACCAATGACAAGCAGATGTCATTTGAGATCAAACCCAGGAACTCACAAGCAAGGCAGAGCCACATCTCAAACTTAATGGGCAAGGGGAGGGCGGGTTGGTGGTTGTGTGTGTGTTTATGTGTGTGTGTGTGTGTGTGTGTGTGTGTCTGTGTGTGTATGAGGGCAGTTCACAGGGGACGAAATGCAGTCAGGATCAGCCCCGAGCAAGGCAAGAGCCTTACTCACTCGCTATATTATATAACTCCTCAGCCTCCAGATGCCTTTTTTCTCTTGTTAGTTGTGGGTCCACACCTGGCGGTTCTCAGGACTTACTCCTGGCTCTGCACTCAGGAATCATTCCTGGCAGGCTCTGGGAACCGTATGTGGTGTCCAGGATCGAACCCTGGTCAGTTGTGTGCACGACAAGTGCCCTACCCACTTAAGGACCCATCTAAATGCCATTTTGTTTGTTTTTGTTGTGGGACCACGCCCGGCGATGCTCAGAGGTTACTCCTGGCTCTACTCTCAGGAATCACTCCTGGCGGCGCTCAGGGGACCATATGGGATGCTGGGGATGGAAGCTTGTAGCGTGGAGCTCTATGGAATATCTGCAAATCACACCCCCTCCAGCTGCAACCGGGGCCTGGCCCTTGAGTACGGAAAATTTCCAGCTGATGTAACAAGGAGAGGGAGGCTGACCTGATCCACACACCTCCATCCCCGGCCTCCAGTTACAGTCACAGGTGGGGTTCAGGTGCTCTCTCTAACCAACCTTCATCCTGAAGCTCCCCAGGAATGCCGCCTTGGCCTCTGCCTTTGCTCTCCCTCTGTGAGACATGCCACCTCCACCAACCTAACTCATTCTACGAGATCAGTCCTGGGGACACAGGGACAGCCTGGAGTTTAAAGCATTTGCCTTGAATGCGGCTGATTCCAACTGAATCCCTGGCTTCTGAGTGTCCCTGGGCTTTGCTGGATGTGGCCCCAAATCCCCACCCCTCCTCCCATAAGTCAGCAGACAAGGTCAGGAGCCTGGCTGCGTCAGCTCTCCACGTGGCATGCGATTGGCTCTCAGCAAGTACCTCCCCAGGTGCAGTCCTCGGGGATGATCCTGAGCTTCTTCCTGATGGGGCCGTTCATGAGCTGGCTTAGGGCATCTCGGTGCAGGTGCCGCAGGTGCCGCTGGCAGAGATGAACTGAAATAAACCGGCTCACAGTAAGCCGAAGGGCTGGCGAAAGGGTCAGCAGGAAGAGGGGGACTTTGGGGGTTGAAAAATGCAAAGCAGCTCCTGGATTCACCCGGAGGCAGGAAGTAAGTCATCAACACAGGCCCGAATGCAGACACTGTTAGGAGGCACTGTGCTGGGCCCAGGAGATGATCCAAGCCCAGAGGTGGCACCTCAAGGCCTCCTGCAGGTGACTCCACAGCCTTCAGACCCCTAGCAAAGTTGCGCCCCCAGGAAATAGAGCAATACAGGGGGTCTGGGGCAGGAGTTGATGCCCACACCTCAAAAAACACTGTGCTCTGGGGGCCGGAGAGACAGTACAGTGGGGAGGGGATTTGCCACTTGCCTTGCATGCAGACAACTGGGGTTCGATCCCTGGCATCCCATATGGTCCCCTGAGCCCAGCCAGGAGTGATTCCTGAGCACCGAGCCAAAGTAACCCCTGGGTATTGCCAGGGGTGGCCCCCAAAACAAACCAACAAAAATCACAGTGGTAAGCCAGAAGCTGGTGTGAAAGACTCCCTCCTGCCTGATTCCAGTGGATGAGGGGTCTCACCAAGACAAAACTGGAAATCAGTAAGCGCAGGGGATGAGGAGGTGGGTGGGGAAGAGGTAAGGGTGGGTGGGGTGGAAGCTTCTAAAATTGGATTGTAGTGATGAAGGCATGGCTTGGTGAATAGTTCCCAAACCACTGAAGCCTGCACCCTATTTGTAATTATTGTTTTTTTTCTCTTTTTGGGTCACACCTGGCAATGCACAGGGGTTACTCCTGGCTCTGCACTCAGGAATTGGTGATGAGGGGACCACATGGGATGCTGGGAATAGAACCTGGTCGGCCGTGCGCAAGGCAAATGCCCTACCCGCTGTACTATTGCTCCAGCCCCATAATTATTGTTTTTTTTTTTTAATTTTTATTTAGATTTTTGGGCCACACCTCGTGGTGCTCAGGGCTTGCTTATGCTGGTGCGACCAGGGAGACCATATGAGAGGTCTCATGGAAGGCAAATACCAGGAGTCACTGTACTATCACTTGGGCTCCAAGTGATAGGCTTCAGGGCAGTGAATTATAGGTCCTCTGAGACACTCAGAAGCAGGGCTGGGGCCTGGAGCCTCAGGTCCTACTCACCTAGATGGCTCTGGGTGAACTCCAGGCTCGACTTCATGGCAGACATAGGCGTATCTTTGGTTAAGATGTTGTAGAAATTCACCCCATCCGTGTTCTGAAACACAGGGGGGCAGCAAGCAGCTCATTCCACGCCTCTTGGAGCAAGGCCGAACGAGGGAACAGCACCTGGCCTTTCTTATTCGAGCACATGAACTGCACCGGCGTGCGCAGATCAGAAAGAAGGGCAGCTAGGGGAGGCGCATGGGACCCCAAACCAGGCCCCTTGCCCTGGGGGTGGCGAGCAGATGTGGGGTGGGGGGAGAAGAGCGCACGTGCTGAAGGGGGAAATCTGGGGGCCTGGCTGTCTTTCCCAGGAAGCAGGGGAGGGGTCTGCACATCTGGGTCCTCACCCAGGCCCTCCTCCTCTTCTCGCTGCAGGATGCTGCCTGTGCCCAGTGGGGTTCAGCTGCAGGTGAACCATTTCTGACAGAATCCACTTGGGCTTTTAATCAAGGGACAGCAGACTGACCCCTTTCCCACAATAGCCCAGGGAGGGGAGGGTTTTCTGATCCCCAAGAGCCCTTGCCCACACCAGATTTACCACTTCTGGACTTGTGGGCAAATGCCGGGGAGCCTGGGATCCCCATAGCACCCACAGGGGCCCTGTCCATCACAGAGTAAAAGAGCCACAAGAGTTGCCCAGCGCGGACTCCCTCTTACCGACTCAATGACCATCTCCGCCTTCCCCCACAGCTGCGTGGCCTCTGTGTACTGCCCCCTATTCACGGCGTCCAGGACCTGCTCTGCCACCTTGGACACCTCTGCCAGGCCTTGGTCATCCAGAAGAGACTGGAATGCAGACGGAGAACAAGATGATGGCTCGGCTTAGAGCCACACACCTGGGGATGCCCGCGAGGCCTCTGCCTGCCAGCTGCCTTCCCATTGAGGTCACCAGCAGCACAGGATGGTGGCAGCTCTGGGGAGCGGATAGCCAGGCTCAGTCCTCTCTCCTGCATGTCTGAAAACAGCCATGATGAAAATCTGGGTGGATGTTATTCATTTTGGGTTGGGGGGAACACACCGGCCAGTACTCGGGTCTTACTCCTGGCTCTGTGCACAGGGAATCAATCACTCATGGTAGGGGCTCAGAGATTGTCTCCAGGTTAGCCCATGTGCAAGGCAAGCACCTTAATCCGCTGTATTATCTCTTTGACCCCCCCACCCCCAGATTTTGTGTTTCTTGTCCCCCAAGAAATGGAGTCACTCCCTGAGGCCAGCAATTAGGATCTCCATCGTGAGTGGCCTCGGAATTCCCCAGGAGAGGGCCAACCACATGGGCAGGGTCATCTGGCTCTGTCCTTCCCGGGGCCAGGAGAGTCCGGTGGAGCTGCTGGGTGAGGTCCGTCCACTTACCATGCTGTAGAGGTAAGGGCCCCAGGAGAGCACCGAATCTAAAGGCAACCAGAGACACAAGATAAGGCCCTCCCGGCTCTGACCTTGCCAAGGAAAACCCAAAGCAGAGAAGTGGGAGATGCGGGCCTTGGGCCTGGGGTCCTGGGCGGGAGACAGCAGATGCCTTGGTGGCTGGGTCTCGGGAAGGACACGCGGTCCCCTTCTCTGCTGACTCAGGACTCCTGGCATGTTAATTGGCCTGAAACTGGCCCCTCGAGTGAGTCACAGCCAGTTAGTTGCCAGCAGGCCCTCAACTGCAGACGTCTAGGCTTTCGGAGCCGAAATCTCCCCGCCCTCACACTTCTGCTCTGCACCCTGGCCGCGCCTCCAGTTTGGGGACACCAGCTTCTGCGGAGGAGCTCATTAAGGAAGACAAATGATTTTGCAATTCCGGTGTCTCTGGCTACACCGCCAATTGATTTCTATCCTACAAACGTGCCGAGAATTTACGAGGGGCCTGAAGCCAGGGAGGGGTGTGGGAGATGAGTAAGCCGGGCTCACCCCAAAGAGGACACTTGTGCATGGCTGACAGGGTCACAAGGAGCATGACGTTAGGGCAGGCCAGTGCCAGCAGGAGCTGTCCCAACAGACACCAAGGACCACAACCCCCAAGTCTATTTAGTCCGACACTCCTCTTAAAAGTCTTTAGCAGCAACCTGAGGTCAACCGTCTCAAAGTATGTTTCGAATAGCCTCAGTTCTGTAGACTTTCGATCTGGTATTACAAGAACAAATGAGTCTTTGGTTAAGTGGCGTTGATGGAGGGCTGAGCAGAGAGCTGGCTCAAGGGGCTGGCGCACATGCTTTGCCTGGGGGAGTCCGGGGTTGGATCCCCAGCACCGGATGGTTCCCTGAAGCACTGAGCCAGGAAGACCCCTGAGCATCACTGGGTGTGGCTCAAACAACAAAGAAGAAATATTTGGGGTGTTTTGCAAAAGAGAGCACATTTCATTACAGTAGGGCTTCCTGGAGCCTTTAATGTACCTGGGAAACCAGAAAAACAGATGAAGCTGTGTGTAGCACTTCCTGAAATGCATTTGAAGGGTCGATGGTTTTTTTGGCTGTTATTTTGTTTTGGGGTGTGTGTGTATTTGTTCATTTGGGGACACACAGGGTGGTGCTTAGGGGTAACTTCTCACTCTGCACTTAGGGATTACTCCTGGCAGGGCTTGAGGGACCAGATGGGATGTCAGGGATCAAACTCAGGTTGGCCATGTGCAAGACAAGTACCTACCCACCATTCTAGCAGGCTTTGAGTTCAATTGTCAACTCCCCCCCTCCCCCGCCAATACACACACTAATAATATCCAAGACTAATTTGACTGTGGAGCCTTGGTGTAACGCCCCACTGGACTGGTAGTCTTCAGTGTGCTCGCTGAGAAATGCAGGTGTGCTGGGTCTCCCAGAGCCCAGCTCCTCCCCTCTCTAGCCTAGACATCAAGCTGGTGCCCTGGGTGCTGGGCTACTTAACTCCGAATGACATCTGCTGTTCTCAAGTGCATCCCCTGTTAGATGGAGACCATAGACCTTTTCAGTAAAGGGACAAAAAAATAAATCTTCGTGGTCTGACAGGCCAGCTGGTCTCTGTTGTGGCGACGCATCTCCATCTCTGTGGCCACAGCACCCAAATAGCCCCAGCCGTGCTGTCAGTCAATGGCGTGACTGTGTCCCAAGAAAAACCTGCTCCTCAAAGTAAGGTGAATGTGACCTGTCTGCGGATCGCAGCTGCTGATCTTAACAGAGCGGGTTTGTCTAATAATAGGACTTCCTGCCGTGATGGCGACATATTTATGTGGTCTGAACCAGCCACCAGCCAAATACAGTTGTAGAGCATATGAAAAACCAAAGGTGAAATCAAAAGACAGTGTGCTGTACTGTACTTTTTAATTAATTCTAATTTAAATGGTCTAATGTGGCCATGGGTACCACTGAACAGCACAGATGTCCTTTGAAAGACGTGGGCTGTCTCTGTCTGTCTTTCCTAACATCTATGGTTATTAACCATTGTTGGCAATTACTATTGGTCCAGGACTTAATTCTTCAAAAGTCACTTCTGAGATAGGGGAATGGCAAACCATGTGGGCCTGGAAAAAGGAATTTAAGATGTGAACAGGGAGGGGGCTGAGGGATAGAACAGTAGGTAGGGTACTTGCCTTGCATGTGGCTGACCTGCATTTGATCCCCAACATCCCATATGGTCATCCTAGCACTGCCAGGAGTAATCCCTGAGCATCGCTGGTATGGCCCCAAAACAAAACAAAAAAGATGTAAACAGGGAGATGAGTGATAGTACAGTGGGAGGGTTCTTGCCTTGCACATGGCTGACCCAGGTTTGATCCCCGATACCCCATATGGTCCACTGAGCCTTCCAGGAGTGATCCCTGACTGCAGAGTCAAGAATAAGCCCTGAGCACAGTCAGGGGTGAGCCAAAACCAAGTAATTTTTCCAAATACGTGAAGAGGAAGAGTCATAGGGGAAATGGGTTGTGACAATATAAAAATACAGATTCTAGACAAGATGAACAACACCTGCCTTAAGCCATACACTAAACACACTTCCTAGGGGGAACCCACGTGGTAGGTGAGAGCTTGGATCCCAAGGCCTGCAGCCCGTGTCAGAATCCTGGCTTTAGCAAAACAGCATACCCTAATGAGTCTGTCTCATTAGCCCCCAAACTCCCCAAACTGGAGGGGGAGGGGCTTGTAAGGGCAAATGATAACCTGTGCAAAGTGCTGAGTGTCTGTGTGAGATTACAAAGAACCCCCTGTGAAAGAGTGAGGACCAGAGCTGGAGCAATAGTACAGTGGGTAGGGCATTTGCCTTGCACAGAGCTGACCTGGGTTCCATCCCCGGCATCCCATATGGTTCTCCGAGTACTGCCAGGAGTAATTCCTGAGTACAGAGCCAGGAGTAACCCTGAGCACTGTCAGGTGTGGCCCAAAAAGCCAAAAAAATATATATTTAAATAAATTTAAAAAAATTAAAACTAAATGTGCTGCTAAAGCCTGAGTGACACAGCTGGCCAGAAGCCTCTGAACCGCACGTCTCCGGCAAAGGCACTGGGTATCCTAGGAGACCACTCAGGAAGAACAAGTAAGCAGCAGTCCTCACCCAGTAAACCCTAACCTCTCACTAAGGCCAGACCAAGCCCACCTCAGGGCACCAAGAAATCCATGCCAAGTAGCACCATAATATTCAAAAACATTAAGATCTGCTCTGCAATAAGACGCAAGCCTATGTTTCGGGGGAAATGTTGTAAATAATAATAACAATTTGGTTTTTTAGTTAAAAAATTTTGGTTTGGGGGGCTGGAGCAATAGGACAGCGGGTAAGGCGCTTGCCTTGCACGCAGACGACTCAGGTTCGATTCCCAGCATCCCATATGGTCCCCTGAGCACCACCAGGAGTAATTCCTGAGTGCAGAGCCAGGAGTAACTCCTGTGCATTGCTGGGTGTGACCCAAAAAAGAAAAAAAAAATTTGGTTTTGGGACCACACCCAACTGTGTTCAGGGATACCGGGCATCAAACCTGGGTCAGCTGCATACAAGGAAAGTGCCTTGTTCCTGTGCTATTTCCTTGGTCCCTCAGAAACAATTCTCTTCCCCTCCCCCACCCCATCCCGCCTCCCTACCACTTCTGCCACCCCCCACCTGCCTCCACTCAAGGAAGATCTGGCAATGTCTGGAAGTATTACTTCCCCCCCCTGGAATTTTAGGCTACAGCCAGAACACTCTCAACAATGCTTGGGGGATCATATGTGATGCCTGGGATTGAACGGGTGTCAGCCATGTGGAGGTTAAGTGCTTTAACCCCTGCGCTATCTCTCTGGCCCTGGAAGACACTGATGGTACACTAGATAATCTTAGTAATGTACTGGGCAGAGATACAGCAAAACACCCTCCAATGCCCAAGATCAGGAATTACATGATGGAAACTGTTCCGTGGTGCCAAGATTTAGAAGCCCCAGGTTAATAGCACTCAAAAGGAGAGAGAGAACAAAAGGGAATGCCCTGCCACAGAGGTAGGGTGGGATGGGGGGAAGGGGGGTGGGAGGGATACTAGAACTGGTGGTGGTGGAGAATGGGCACTGGTGGAGGGACGGGTATTCGATCATTGTATAACTGAAACCCAAGCACAAAAATCTGTAAGTCTACAACTGTACCTCATGGTGTTTCACTAATAAAGATTTAAAGAAAAAAAAAAAGCCCCAGGTTAGAGTTCACTCAGCCAAGATGGTTATTTCAGGGTCCGAAGGGAAAGATGCCTTCTCTCAGGACAGAAACAGCTTTTCTCGACACTCCCAGTAAGAAAATGCATCAGGTTAAGAAACTGTGAAGCTGAGTTGCAGGGCTAGATGGGAATCTCATCATTAATCGGATCAACCAATGAGAATGTTGTCATCTTGTCCCCAACACCACCCGGAGGCGCTGGCAGCAGGTGCTTATGCAGGTTCTCATATCCGGATACACAGCCCACAGCCCCGGGGAGGACAGGAGAGGCACCAGGATATGCTGACACTCACCAATGGGCGAGATCCAGGAGTCACCCAAAGCCACTCCAGCGAAGTTGCAGTGGATTGTTCCCTTCTGAATGGCCTGAAAGAGGAGACACCCATTGAGGGGTGCCAGGGCCTCAATGCTCCTCCAGGAAGGAGCCCCGCCTCCCTACACCCCTTCCCTGAGCACAGGAAACTCCCACTGGTGCCTTAGAAATTCCCGGAGCATCATTCATGGCCTCAACTCAGATACTTGTGAAAAGGTGACGTCCCTGTCACCATTTTCTGCAAAATGAGGAGGAACTGGTCCAGATGAGTCCCTCTCTACTTTTCATAAGGGCGACTGCAGAAGTTGGGGATAGTTAGTACTGCCCCGATCACTTCTAGGAGAGACCTTGTCACCCTCTGGGGTCAACGAGGTCAATCCAGCAGCAAACACCAAAGCTGAACTGAAATGAAACGGACTGAAATGAAAAGATCTCCAAGGTATCCTGTTAAATCACCAAGAAAGACATAGGAAATAACGAGCAGTATATAATTCCATTTCTATAACAGTGGGGGCAAAGTCTACATAAGTTAGCTTGGATAGGCATGAGCTACCTCCATAAAGTAAACTAGTGAGAGAGGTTGCCTTGGGGGTCCCGGTTATGCATTTAATCTACTTATCTGTGATTATGCCCTACACCGGCACTACAGTGTTTTACTCATCAGACTTTATAGGTTGCTTGGTATCTGACCGGGCCACCTTCACTGTTCTTTCTACAACCTTTTTTCGTTTATTAGTATAGACTTGCTCTTTCTGTTCATGTACAAGCACGGTTAATATGAAATAAGTACGAAAAGGTGAGCATAAGCAGTTATGTTCTGAAACCCAAACAAAGTGTCTGAAACCCAAACGAGGCATCTTGCCGGTTACCTTATGAAGTTCCAGGCCAATGCCAGCAGCCATTTTTCCTCCATAAGACTCTGAGAAAATGTAGAATGGAATCGTCTAGCAAGAAAAGGAATTTACAAACAGTTAAATAGCACAACGGCCCTTTTTTACTCTCTTATGGTGTCAGGAATCAAACCCACGGCATCATAAATGCAAAGCATGTACTCTACCACATAGCTACATCACCAGGCCACTTTCAAGTCATAAGAATTGACTGTTTGCTTGGGAGACACACTTGACAGTGTTCAGGGCTTACTCCTTGCTCCATGCTCAGGGATCACTCCTGGTAGTGCTGGGGGTGCACTTGGGGAGAGCATGTGTGGTGACAAAGATTGAGCTGGAGCTACCTGTGTGCAAGGCAAGCACTTTACCCCCAAACTGTCTCTCCAGCCTCCATAAGAATTAATTTTAAATTCCTTCTACATGTAATAGCCAGATAAAACAAATCTGCTGTCTCCCCCACCCTCTCCCATATCTGGTTATTACCTCTCATTAAAATTCTGGCTTCATGGAGGCTGAAGTGATAGTACAGCACCTAGTTAACCTTGCTGACGAGGCTGACCCAGGCTCAATCCCCGGCATACCCTATGGTCACCGACTCCCACCAGGAGTAATTCCTGAGTGCAGAGCCAGGAGTTACCCTTGAGCATCACCAGATGTGACCCAAAAAGAAAAAAAAAAAGATATTAAAATTCTGGTTCAAGGGTCGATTTAGCAAGTTCAAAGCCATCTTTAGAGGGGCCAGAGCAATAGTGAAGTGGGTAGGGCGTCGACCCACACGTGGCCAACTGGGGTTCAATCCCCAGCAACCACATGGTCCTGTGAGCACTGCCAGGAGTGATCCCTAAGCAGAGCCAGGAGGAAGCCCAGAGCACAGCCAGGTGTGGCACCAAAACCAGAAAACAACAACAACAACAACAACAAGTACTTTAGAACTGGCAGATCAAAAGCCTACACTTCAAGGCTCTCCCTGCATCTCTGCACCAAGCAGCTGAGCTCTCGGGGGAAATCATGTTGCAGCTTTCCTGCCCATCCCCACACCCAGCAGCTGGCCCAGCCTCTCTGCTCACCTGGAACTCCTTGTGGCAGCTAAAGAAGCTCTTCAGGAGAACCAACATGTCTGACGCCACCATGGCAAGGTCTTTGGCATAAGCGTTACTCTTGTTCACGTAGCTGAACCCCGTGCCCACCGGGTTGTCCACAAACAGAAGATTGGCAGACTGGAGCTACAACAGGGAAACAAGAGTGGGTAGCAGTCACCAACTATCCTTTGATCATCTCTTACCAGCTCATCAAACCCCACAGGTGAAGCTATCAGTAGGTTACAACCTTTTTGGTAGAAAGGATTTAAAAAAAAAAAAAGGAATAGCTATAAAGGCCACTACAGCAAACAAGGGAAAGGAAAAAGGCAGAGTGATGAATACAAACAAGAGATCCATGACTCTACATGGAGCAGTGCAGGGAGAAGCAGGCAGCATCTGTCCAAGCAGGAATCTGCAGCCGAGAGGGCACGCCCCATATGTTCTCTCAAAAATGAGTTCAGTTTCCACCTGGCCTAATTCTTTTTGCACTGCAAGAAGTCTTTATTCTGGGCCAGAGCGATAGTACTAAGGTCAGGCACTTGCCTTGCAGGTGGCTGACTGGGGTTTGATCCCTAGCATTTCAAAGGTCCTCCAAGAACTGCCAGGAGTGATTCCTGAGTACAGAGTCAGGAGTAACCCCTGAGCATCGCTGGGTGTGCCCCTTCACTCCCCCCAAAGAAGACTTTATTCGAATTCCTTTTCCAAAGAGGCTCAAAGTTACACTGTTTTCTATCTGGGAGGGCCTTAAATGATGACAGACCAGTTATGTCCTTTCCTGATCAGGAACCCAAAGTGCGTGTGTGGCCCAGGACTCGTCCCAGTGGCCCTTGGATGAGATGAGTCCTGGGAGACACAGGTTGACAGATTAACAGTGGCATCAGGCTTACGACCTGAGTCACCTGTCTTCATTCAGGCTCTGTCTATTACCATCCGTCCTGGCAGGCTGTGGACAAGTCAGTGGGGTGCTCTGCTACTGCTAAAAGTGGTGCTTCAGTTGGAATGGAGTGCAGAAATATTCTAGATAAACGTCCAGCATGTGCAGAGATCCTGAGGCCAGAGTGAGTAAAAACACAGTCCAGGAAGACCAGTGTGGAGACAAGAGAATCAACGGACTTGCAGGGGCCCGAAGGAAGAGTTCTTGTTCTCATTGTCTCTCCTTCCTTCCTTCCCTCCCTCCCTCCCTCCCTCCCTCCCTCCCTCCCTCCTTCCCTCCATCCTTCTCTCTCTCTCTCTCTCTCTCTCTCTCTGACATACCTGGTGATGCTCAGGGATTACGCCTGGCTCTATACTCAAGAATCACTCCTGGCAGTGCTCGGGGGACCATACGGGATGCGGAAGATCAAACCCAGGTTGGCCATGCGCGAGGCAAGCACCCTACCTCCTGTACTATCTCTCCGGCCCCTTCCTAGTCACTTTTGATGTGGGGTCTATATCAAGTGGCTTTCCAGGGACCATATGGTACTGGGAGACTGAACTCAGGGCCTTCTTCCATGGGTCAGGCTTCTGCTCTGCCACTTGAACCACATCCCAGATCCCCTGCATTAAGCCTTTTGTGTGTGTATGGTGGGGTGGGGTAGGGGGGGCGGCAGGAGGGGGTTAGAGAGATTAACTGGGGTGACACCTGGTAAAACCCTCGCATGGTGCTGAGGATTGTTCTAGGCAGTGTTTGTGGGACTGTGATCTTAGGGAACAAACCAGGGCCTCCTGTGAGCAGAGTTTTCCTGAATTCAGGCCTCTGAGCTACCTCCCTGGCCCTGTCTCAAAGAGCAGATGGGGGGGGGGGGGGGGGCTGAAAGGGTGGCCAGGGAGGAAGTCAAGCGGAGGCAATTGGCCACACTGAGGCCAGAAGGAGGGGTGTGTGCGGATAAGTGCTGGGAGAGGTAGTGGAGTTAGGGAGGGGCAGATTGTGCCTCAGAAGCCAGAAGCTGGGTCTGGTCTTTGGGTAACTGAAATGAAGAGTGATCTGTGTTGGAGAGCTTCACTTATGTGGGACACAGAAAATGAACTGTGCGTGCACATCACAAAGTCACTAGGGCTGATGAGGAAGGGATGGGGAAGGAGCAACAATGCCTGGGTGTCGAACACAGCACTGGATCCTGAACCAGCTATTCCGGTCGTAGGCACAGACCCATAAATATTGGGAAAATCAGGGCTCTGATAAGTATTTGTATGCCAGTGCTCTCTGCATTATTCATAATGGCCCAAAGGTGTTCATCAAAGATGACTGGATAAACAAAATATGGTGCAGCCGTGCAATGGCACAATGCTCAGTCTTATTAAGGAATGACAGTGGGGGATGGGCCTCATGGCTTACAGACCAGAGGCCTGGGGTTTGACAGATCAGAGGCCCGGGGTTTGACCCCTCACAAGGCCAAACATAAAATCTTTTTTTCAAAGGAAAGAAAAATTTGGGGGGGGGGGGGGCTAGTAAAATGGCTTAAGGGGCTGGAACACATGCTTTGCACACAGCAGCCTTGTGTTAACCCCTGGCATTGCTTTCCTAAGCATCGGTAGATGTAGTCAAAAAAAAAGGAAAAAAAAAAAACAAAGAACTGATCCATGCTACATGGATGGGCTCTGCAGAACTAATGCTGTGAACGGAGCCAGATACCAAAGGTCACAAACTAAGATTCCAATTTTTGTGGGTAGGGGCTGGAGCAATAGCACAGCGGATAGGGTATTTGCCTTGCATGCGACCAACCCGGGTTCGATTCCCAGCATCCCATATGGTCCCCTGAGCACCGCCAGGGGTAATTCCTGAGTGCAGAGCCAGGAGTAACCCCTGAGCATCACCAGGTATGACCCAAAAAGCAAAAAAAAACTAAAACCAATTTTGGGGGGTAAGTGGGATTCTGTCAGGTGGAGTGATTGTTGGTCAACTGGCCCAGGAATCAATGAAAGGCGTGATTCTGGTCCTGTAGTGACAGAAATTACCTGGGTCACCTTGGTGGTATTCAGCAACCACCCGAACTATATCCAGCTGTGCCTGGGGTTACACCCAGCAATGCTTGGGGACATCCAGGACTATACACTGTCTCAGAGGACACTGACCATGCTCAATTTATGGGGTGCCAGGAATCGACCCAGCATCAGCGACATCAAAAACCTGTGCCTCGAGCCTTGTACTCTAGCTCTGGCCCAAGATTCCATTTTATAAAATGTCCCCAGAAGGCAAATCTAGGAACAGAAAGCGGTTGTGAGAAAAACTGGAGGGTGACATCTAAGGGTATGATGTTTTTGGGGTAGAAAGGTATTAAAATATTCAAACTATGGTCTGTCTGTCTGTCTGTCTATCCTCCCATTGTTCATCGATTTGCTCAAGCGGGCACCAGTAACGTCTCACAACAAATTGTGAGACTTGTTGTTACTGTTTTTGGCATAATGCATACGTCACAGGTAGCTTGCCAGGCTTTGCCATGCAGGTGAGATACTCTCGGTAGCTTGCCGGGCTCTCTGAGGGGTGGTATTTTAATATTTTAAAAATATTTTAGGGGCTGGAGAGATAGCACAGTAGGTAAGGCGTTTGCCTTGCACGCGGCCAACCCGGGTTCAATCCCCAGCATCCCATATGGTCCTCTGAGCACCGCCAGGAGTAACTCCTGAGTGCAGAGCCAGGTGTAACTCCTGTGCATTGCCGAGTGTGACCCAAAAAGAAAAAAAAAATTTAATAAATATTTTTAAAATATTTTTTAAAAAAATATTTTAATAAAATATTTTAACTATGGTAAATGGTTGCAGAATTCAGTATAGAGGCCAGAACAATAGTACGGCAGGTAGGGTATTTTCCTCGAATGTGGCTGACCCAGATTTGATCCCCAGCATCCCCATATGATTCCCCGAGCACCGCCAGGAGTGATCTCTGAGTGCAGAGCCAGAGTAAACCCCTGAGCATCACTAGATATGGCCCAAAAACCAAAACCGAAAACCAAAACTCTGAGTATATACTCACGGTCCTCCCGTTGTTCATCGATTTGCTCGAGCGGGCCCAGTAACATCTCCATTGGAGACTTTGTTGTTACTGTGTTTGCATATCGAATAGGTCACGGGGAGCTTGCCAGGCTCTGCCATGCGGGCAAGATACTCTCGGTAGCTGGTCGGGCTCTCCGAGAGGGGCGGAGGAATCGAACTCGGGTCGGCCATGTTGGCCGCTTGTAAGGCGAACGCCCTACTGCTCTGCTATCGCTCCAGCCCAGAGTATATACTAATAGTATATAAATCATATACTTTAAATCATATACTTTAGGTGGGTGATCTGCATAAATCACTTTCAATAAAGCTGTTTTGTCTGGGGCCAGAGAAATAGTACAATGGGCAAGATGCTTGATTGTACACAACCAATCAGTGGCACCACTTTTGGTCTCCTGAGCACTGCCAAGAGAGATACCTGAGTACCGAGCTGGAGTGAGCTCAGAGCACCTCTCTGGATATGGCCCCAAGACCCCTACCCATGCCCACCCCCAAAGAAAAGAGCTGTTTTATTTTATTCCCCAGTGCCAAGGGATAAAACCCAGGACCTCAGACATGAAAGGGAAGTGCTCTATAGTGGAGTTACATCCTTGCTCAAGCAAGCTGCCTTTTAAGGCTCTATTCTTTGCACCGCAGAACCCAATGCTTGGTGAGTCCAAGGCTATACATGACAATGAAGAACCCAGGCAGGCCTGGGGTGGGGAGAGATGAGGAGGGCTGAGGCGCCCACGTGGGCGGTGGCACAATGCACCATAAGAAGAGAAATGGGAAGTTGGCTGGCTCTGTGGGTAGGGTACGGACCTAGTGTAGGACACAGAACAATGAGCACCATTTGGGATGTACAAGTCGGGGAGGAAGGAGGGGAGACCCACAAGGCAAGTGGGGAAACAGTTCCGGGGCAAAGAGGAAGTTCAGGATAAGTGATGCTGGAGCAGCTCTAGGGCCCTTTCACACGTGGCCGCCACTGTGTTAAGTTTGAGTCACTGGTGGTAAGGGCTGACTTCCACATGTTATTAAAGCAGCTTGGAAAGGGGAAAGAGAGAGAGACAGAAAAAGAAAGATAGAAGGAAGAGAGAGAGAAAGAGAGGAGGGAGAGGGAGAAAGAGAGGGATAAAGAAAGGGAAAGAGAGAGAGAGAGAGAGAGAGAGAGAGAGAAGAAAAGTACCTGCCACAGAAGTGGGAGTGGGTGGTGGGAGGGAACCTGGGGACATTGGTGGTGAAAAATGTACACTGGTGAAGGGATGGGTGTTGGAACATTGTATGACTGAAACTCAATCATGAACAACTTCGTAACTGTGTTGTCTTACTGTGATTCAATTAAAAATATAAATAAATTTAAAAAATTAAAAAGAATGATTGGTGGCTGCGTTACAATTTTAAAACATTTTTTTTTGTTCTGGGCTGCAGAGATAGTACAGTCAGAAAGACACTTTCCTTGTATGTAGCTAATCCAGGGTCAATCCCTGGCACCCCATATGGTCCCCCTAGCACTGCCAGAAGTAATTCCTGAGTGCAAAGCCAGGAGTAAGCACTGAGCACTGCTGGATGTGACCTCCCCAAATAATATTAATAATAATAATAAATGTTTTGCTCTATACTTGAGAATGCCTGACGGTGCTACACAGGGGTCACCCTCGAAGAACATGAGTCACGATGTGGTGCTGGGTGTCAACACTGAGCCTCCCACATCAAAAGCCTGTTCTCCAGCCCTTGAGCCATAGCCCCAGCCCAGAACTTGCTTTTCTTTTCTTTCTTTCTTTTGTTTTTTTGTTTTGGGGTCACACCAGTGGTGCTCAGGGTTGCTCCTGGCTCCGAGCTCAGAAATTACTCCTGACGGTGCTTGGGGGACCATAAGAGATGTCAGGGATCAAACCTGGGCTGACTGTGTTTAAGGCAGGTGCGCCTACCCACCATACTGTCAGTGCAGACCTGAGAATTTGTTTTGTTTGTTTTTGTCACACCTGGCGATGCTCAGGGATTACTCCTGGCTCTGCACTCAGGAATCACTCTTGGTGGTGCTTGGGGGACGATATGGGATGCCAGGGATCAAATCTGGGTTGGCTACGTGCAACATAAATGCCCTACCCACTGTATTATCACTGTGGCCCTGAGAATTTGCTTTTCTTTGCGAAAGAGGGGCACATGTTTGCAGTGTCAGGAAAGAAAGACCAGAGACAAAGATGCACAAAGAGCCTGCCCACCAACCATGGGGAGCCCGGAGAGTAGAACATCAGGATAAGAGGTCTTGCCTGATGTTTTGATAGGTTTGGTTTCTGGGCCACACCTGGCTGTGCTCTGGGGTTACTCCTGGCTCTGCACTCAGGGATCACTCCTGGCAGTGCTCGGGGGACCAGACGGGGTGCCGGGGATCAGGTCAACTGCATGCAAGGCAAGCACCTTTCCTGCTGTATTATCTCTCCAACCCTATCGCCTCATGCTTTGGGATGGGCAGGGGAGTAGGAAGGTCGGCAGGGAAGACAGAAAATTGCTGGCTGCATACACGTTACTATTTTCTCTGGGAGGCAGAGACAGGTACACTCCAAAAACGGGAAGAAAACTTAAGTCAGAACATCAGCAACGTGGAGAATGTCTGGACAGTAGGAGCTGGGGGGAGGGCAGAGCCGGGCACAGAACAGAGGGCAGAGTACCGAGCAGGGCAGAGCCAAAGCTGAGCATGGAGCCCAGATCAGGGAGCAGAGGGTGACCCTCGGCCAGAGCAAAGCCCACCACTGACAACGTGGCTTGGGTTGCTGTGTCAGACGGCCTGGAGAAAGGGGCTAGACAGGCCGACAGTGGAAGCGACGAGAAGTTGGGCGAGGAAGGGCTCTCAAGGGGAATGTCCTCAAGGAAGTTGGTGGGTAGGAATGGCTGGGGAAGGCAGTCAAGCAAAGACTGAAGAGAAAGCGACACAAGGGCCGGGCTCAAGGGACATGAATTCCATCTCCACTCCGCCGTGGAGAAGCAGGACTGGAGATGGTGCATGACGGAGGCTGGGAGGCTGTGGATGGAAGGCGACCTCAGGGAGGGGGAGTGCAGAGAGGGCCACTCCTGGGCGGTGATAAGGTCAACTGGTGAGGGCAGAAGGTCACCAAACAGAGGAGAGGAGACGGCTGGCAGAGCTGTTCCAAGAGCTTGAAGGGCTGCTTAGAGGAAGCCTGTGTGCCCTGGAGGAAAAAGGGGAGCAGGGAGCCTCTTGGGGGAAGGGCATCAGCATTGGAGGGGCTATGTGGCAGTTCAGTGTGTGTGTGGGGGGTCATCCTCACCGTACCCAGGTAGTTGTTCGTGGTTTGAGGTTACTGTCGAGGGGCCCGATTTCCTCAAAGTTTCCAAATCCAGTGCTGGAACCACCAGGACCACCCTATGGAGGAGAAGAGAAACAAAAATAAATCAGAGAGAAAACTAGAGTCAAGGGCCAGGCAGAGAACTCAAAGGGTTAGTTCAATAAAACAACTTTAGTCTAGGGCCAGAGTGACAGTACAGTGAGTAGAGCACTTGCCTTATTGGCAGCTGACCCAGGTTCAATCCCCAGCATCCCATATGGTCCCCAGAGCACCTCCAGGAGTAATCCTTGAGCATCGCTGGGAGTAACCCCACCACCACCCCCCCAGGCAAAAAATTTTTTTTTTAATAAAAAAAAAAACAGGGCTGGAGCAATAGCACAGCGGGTAGGGCGTTTGCCTTGCATACAGCTGACCCGGGTTCGATTCCCAGCATCCCATATGGTCCCCTGAGCAGCGCCAGGGGTGATTTCTGAGTGCAGAACCAGGAGTAACCCCTGTGCATCACCAGGTGTGACCCAAAAAGAAAAATAAAATAAATAAATAAAACTTTAGTCTATTCTTGGCTATTACAAAGTCACAAAAGCCTATATTGCCCCTGATAACTTATGATTCAGTGGTGGCTGGGTCAGCCCAGCATAAAGGACAGTCCTGACCAGAGGAAATGGGGTGGGGGGGTTGTTCTGAGCTAAGGAATCCCTACCACCTCCTAGAATCATTGGTCTTCCTAGAATGAGCTCAGCTGGGCTGAAATAACTCTTAAAAAAAAGTTTCTTTAGGAACCAGCAATAAAGTACAGCAGGAAGGGTGTTTGTCTTGTATGCAGTTGACCTGAGTTCGATCCCAGCAACGCATAGTATACGCTGAGCCCCACTAGGAGTGATCCCTGAGTGCACAGCCAGGAGTAAGCCCTGAGCACAGTTTCGAGTATGGTCCCAAACCACAATCCAGGACGAGAGAGATGACTCAACAGACCAAGTATCTGCTTTGCACGCAGGAAACCGGGGTTGGATCCCCTTCACTGCACGGTCCCGTCAGCACTGCCAGGAGTGACCCTGAGCACAGAGCCAGGAGCAGCCCCAGAGCACTGCTGGGTGTGGCCCAAACCAAAGCTCACAATCTGAAGGCAGCTATTTGTCACAGTATATGTGTTAAAACAGCAAAGCCAGGCAGCAGCTCCATGCCTCAGGTCAGACGGTAGTATTAGGAACTGAGTCACAGGCCTGCAGGTGGAAACGTGACACTGACGTCTAAAATTGCAGTTAAGAATGATGTGGCTCACAGGCTAGGGGAAAAGGCAGCTTAGATAGAGAAGGGAGCACCAAATAAAGGGTGTTGGGAGGATCCTCCCAGGATGAGAGAAGCATGCTGAAAGTAGACTATAGACCGAACATGATTGCCATTCAGTACCTCTTTTGCAAATCACAACACCCAAAAGAAGAGAGAGAACAAAAGGGCATGCCCTGCCACAGAGGCAGGGTGGGATGGGGGGATGGAGGGTGGGAGGGATACTGGAACCCGTGGTGGTGGGAAATGGGCACGGGTGGAGGGATGGGTACTTGATCATTGTATAACTGAAACTCAAGAACTAAAGTTTGTAAGTTTACAACTGTACCTCATGGTGTTTTGCAAATAAAAAATAAATAAAATTTTTTTAAAAAAAGAAGAATGATGTGGCTGCCCTGGAGAACACTGATCATGCAGCCTGAGAAGCAAGAGTGCCTCCGTGAACAACAGTGGGTCCCTTTCTTTTTCCTGGTGGATTCCTTGGGATGGGATCCTGACTCAAGACAAAGGAGGGCAGGGGCTGGAGCGATAATACAGCGGGTAGGGCGTTTGCCTTGCACATGGCCAACCCGGGTCCAATCCCCAGCATCCCATATGGTCCCTGAGCACCACCGCCAGGAGTAATTCCTGAGTGAAAAGCCAGGAGTAACCCCTGAGCACCGCTGGTGTGACCCAAAAAAAGAAAAAATGAAAAAGCAAAGGAGGGCAGCTGGGGACCGGGCATGATTTGGTGGGGGGGAAAATCCCACTTTCCCTGCCCCATTTCTGATAAGCCATGATGACAGTGGCCTCCATCTGCCCAGCCAGTAATGGACAAGAAGCTAGATGGCCGATGTGGCTGTTCCGTTTGGTTCAGTTTTCAGGCCACACATACTGGTGCTCAGGGGCCAACTCCAAGCTCTGTGCTCTCGGGTCACTCTTGGCAGTGCTGGGGATTGAGCCATAGTGGGTCACGGACAAGGCCAGTGCCTTATCCCTGCACTTCCAGCTTTGCACAGAATTTTGGGATGGCGTGCTATCATGGCCTAGGGCTCTACACTGGCCCTGAAGCGTACGTCTGCAGATTAACTGTACCAAGTATCCAAGCCCCATCCACCCTACCCCGGTGACCACAATGCCAACAACAAAAGGAAAAAGGAGGTGCCAGGAGAGAGGGGAGAGGGTTAAAGGGCTGAAGCACATGCTTTGCATTCAAGAGCCCTGGTTTCAATCCTGGTACCACAAATGGCCCCAGCACCACAGGAATCACCCTAGAGCACTGATCGGTGTTATCCCCAAATTTAAAAAAAATTGGAGGAGGCCATATGTGGGGATTCTAAGGGCTTACTCCTAGTTCTGCACTTAGGGGAATCATTCCTGGTGGGGGAATGCTTAAGTGACTATGCTGGGTGCCAGGGATCAAAATGCCAGGTCAGTTGCATGCAAAAGGGATGGAAAGTGGAAAAGAAGGACAGGGGATGATGGTTTTTGTTAAAAAAAAAAAAAAAGAACCAACAAACAACAACAACAACAAAAAAGTTTAAAATGTTAGCAACTAACTGAAACAAAACAACTGCAGTTTGTAGTCAAACAAAAGAACAATTGGCAACTTCTAAAATCCAGTGTTCTGCAAATTACATTCCTGAGAGTCCAGAGAGTGCCTCAAAAGGGGCAGTACAGGAGGCAAAGAGCTTGCTTGGCTTGTAGCAACCTGGATTCAATCCCCAGAACCACCTAAGGTTCTCCAAGCACAGGCAGGAAAGATCCCTGAACAGAGAGAGAACCTGAGAAGAGACACGAGCAACCCCTGAGCAGATAGGAATAGACTGAGCAGAGAAAGGAGTGAGCCCTGAGCAGAAACAGGAGAAAGCCCTGAGCACCAGTAGGTGTGGTCCGAGGACTCCCTCCCTGGCCAAAAGGACGAGGGTTTTGTTTCAGGACATCTGTAAAGCCTCGCAAGCATGAAGCCTGGGTTTAACACCTAGCACTGCAGAGCCAAACATGTCCCAGGGTAGCATATGACAAAGAGGAGCCTTGATCAGATGGGGCCCCTCCGCCAGCCTCCTTCAGAAAGCCAAAGCCCAGAGAGGAAGCGTCCTGTCCTGGCCCTAAAGTCATGAAGGAAGTCACAGTCACAGTCACAAGAGGCCCTTATCAGGCCAGTGCTTGCCTTGGGCAGATTCTGGGTCAGGAGCCTAGAAGGTGCCCCTGTGTCTCTGTACCTCTGGGTTGGGGCTCACCTCCTGCCCCACAAGGAGCCCCTGGCCATAACTCTGAGAGGCCCCTCGCTGCAAACGGAAGGTCTGTACTCACTGGCCTGTACACAAAGCCAGCCCCTGGGGAGGAGAGTACCAGGGCACCCTTGTCACCGTGGAGCAACCTGCAGGCCCAGTTGGGGCGTGCCTGCACTGGCAGAAGTGGAAGCAGGGCGCTGCTGCACCCCACCCCCGCGCTGGTCTCTGGGTGGGTGGGTGTGGGCTGCCTCTGGGCAGATATTCCGGGAATGCGAGGAGGATCCTCTGCCTGACCCCGAAACCCTATGACCCGAGCAAGGCACAAACACTTGGGGAGAACCAAGACACCACAGGCTGGGTGCTTAAAGATCAGCTTTTCTCAGATAAGAATTCAGGATGGACGGGGCTGGAGCTATAGTACAAAGGGTAGGGTGTTTGCCTTGCTGACCCGGGTCAGTTCCCAGCATCTCATATGGTCCTCCCACCACCACCAGGAGTAATTCCTGAGTGCCGAGTCAGGAGTAACCCCTGAGCACTGTCAGGTGTAACCTAAAAAGCAAAAAAAAAAAAAAAAAAAAAAAAAAGAAAAAGAAAAAGAATTCAGGATGGAGGGGAGGGTATGTGGCGTGGTTAGAGTGACGGTGGCCCTGTCTCTGCTTTGGAAACAAGAACACCTGGAGTGGGCACAGAGACGTACCTTCAGGCTCCTCTGTCAAGGGTTTTCCCCCTCTCACCTGGCCCCTTTCTCATAACACTGCCTTCGCTGGCCTGGAGAATAAGCAAGGTCCAGCCTGAGTACCACATCAACCCCCCCTCGGGGTGCTGAAGGCCCTTCAGTTCTAATCACTTCCCTCATCAGTGAGGGAAACGTGGCTCAACCTCTAGCCTGGAAGTGAAGTCTCTTACCTGAAGCCACATAACCAGAGGCAGTTCTGAGAAGGTCTTGTTGGAGTTGGTGGCATAATAGAGCCACCAGAACATGTGGGCATCCTTGCGGATAGTCACGTAATCCCATACTTCCTTGCCCTCCCTGGGACAGTTGAAGACGGCTCCTGGAACAGAAGAAGCAGTTCGATCATCAGCTAATGTTTAGCTGAAGACCCGGCCCAGCAGGAATAGCCAGGCCAGAAGGAAAAGGATTTAATTTATACCTTAAGCAGTTTCCTCATCCTCATTTTGTGGCAATGATCATAAAATCCCTTGGTCAAAAGAAAAAGCAAATCAAACTCCACAGTGACCCGATTTCCTTCTACACCCTTATGCTGTGTTTGGATTTTTGTTTCTGTGACTGGGGGCCAAAACCAGCAGTACTTAGGGATAATGCCAAGCTCTGTGTTAGGGGGTCACCGTGAAGTGCTCAGGGGACCCTGTGTTGCCAGGGATCAAACTAGAGTCAGTCTCAAGCAAGGCTGAGACAAACTTAACCTTAACCCGTGTACAATCTTTCTGGTGCCTAGTTTTTAGAATTTGGGGAGTAAGATGGGGCATGGGTTTGGGCCATAGCAGGCAATGTTCAGGGCATACTCCTGGCTCTGAATTCAGGAATTACTCTTGGTGATGCTCAGAGGACCATATTGGGTGCCAGGAATCGAACCTGGGTCAGGTACATACACGGCAAATGCCCCCTACCTGCTACACACTATCTCTCCCTGTTTTTTTTTTTTAATTTATCACCAGCATTTATAGGAAGAGCCTCGGTAAAGAACTAGATATGGGGACACACGCATGATCTTACTATAGTGAATGCTTAGCTTGCCCCGATTATGATATTCGTAAGTGTTTGGATTTTAAACAATAAACATGAAATGAGTTTCTGTTTTAATATGAGAGAAACATATTTTTGGGGGGCACTGTAGCACTGTCCTCCCGTTGTTCATCGATTTGCTCGAGTGGGTCCAGTAACGTCTCCATTCTGAGACTTGTTGTTACTGTGTTTGGCATATTGAATATGTCACGGGTAGCTTGCCAGGCTCTGCCGTGTGGGCGAGATACTCTGGGTAGTTTGCCGGGCTCTCCGAGAGGGACGGAAGAATCGAACCCGGCTCAGCCAGGCTGGCTGTGCACGAGGCAAGCGCCCTACTGCTGTACTATTGCTCCAGCCCTACTAGTTGGAAATGATCACTCTGGACAAGAGCTGAGTATTGAAAGTAGGTAAAGGGATAGATATTATAACCTTTCAGCATCTGTACTGCAAACATAATGCCTAAAATGAGAGATAGAAAGAGAAAGAGAGAGAGAAGACAGGTGCCTGCCATAGAGGCAGGCTGGGATAGGTGGGTGGTTCGAAGGGAAAAAGTGTAAAAACACAATGGAGTGGCTTTTTTTAAAAATATCATATTGCCCTGCCCGTGCTCAGGGTTTCATATATGATGTTGGAACTCAAACCCAAACTCCTTGCATGCAAAGCACAATCTCCAGCCTGATGAGCTATTCCCAAACAGGCATCACTTTCGGAGGGACAAGATTATTCATTCTAGGGGCTGAAGGACAGTGCAGTGGGTAGGGCACTTGCCTTGTACACAGTTGACTGGTTCATTCCCACATAGTCCCCGAAGCCCACCAGAAGTGATCCCTGAGTACAGAGCCAGGAGTAAGCCCTGAGCACTACCGGATGTGGCCCCCAAACCAAGACAATTAAATAAATATAAGATTATTCATTGTATTATGCTGGAGAAATCATAAACTTTCTTGAAGGAAAAAAAAGAAGTGCAGGTTCTTGCAATATTACAAACCAATAAATTCCAAGTGGATCAATTTAGAATTTAAGGTATTAAAAATTAAAATACTAAAATGGTCATGGTCCTCTGTTGTTCATCGATTTTGCTCGAGCGGGCCCAGTAACGTCTCCATCATGAGACTTGTTGTTACTGTGTTTGGCATATGAGTACGTCACGGGGAGCTTGCCAGGCTCTGCCGTGCGGGCGAGATACTCTCAGTAGCTTGCCGGGCTCTCCGAGAGGGGCGGAGGAATCGAACTCGGGTTGGCCATGTTGGCTGCGTGCAAGGCAAACGCCCTACCGCATATGAAAATATAGTTCAATGTTTTCCTGATATCTGAGTGGGTATAGCATTTTACACATACCAGAGAGACAAAAGAGGAAAGTATCAACAGAGCACAAATCTGTTAATTACTATTTATCAAATGCAAAAGGCAAACAACAATAAAAAAATCTGCAACAAACATGCAGATCAATTTTAAAGAAATGGAAATTCTGAACTTAGTTACTAAGGTTCTCCCCAAACCTTTCTACTTAAAAAAAAAAAAAAGAAAAAAGGCTTTTGGAAGTCCTAAAGAAATTAGCAAAGACTACAAGGAAATTATTTATGTAGGTAACCACAATGTTATAAAAATGTTATAAAAATGTGAAAGTTATTTTTTCTGGGGGGACGGGGTATGGGTCACACATGGCAGTGCTAAAGGTTACTCCTGATTCTGTGCCCAGGGTCACTCCTAATTTCTTTTCAGGGACCATACATGTTGCTGGGGATCAAACCAGGATTGGCTGTCCAGTGTCTTAACCACTTTATTATCCCTTAGTCTGTAGAAGGGTTTCAACATCACTTTCATTCCCCCCACCTTTTTTTTTTTTTGGCCACATCCAGTGGTTCTCAGGGCTTACTCCTCGCTTTGTGCCCATGAGTCACTCGTAGAGGAGCTCAGGGGATCATATGGGGGAGCTGGGGATCAGGGTCAGCCATGGCTAAGGCACCGCCCTACCTGCTGTACTACTGCTCTGACCCTAAATTTCAAAGATGAAAATTAAAGAAATAGGTTAATAAATAACCTGTGCTTATTTTGCCAAGAAAAAATGGCAGCTACAACTTTCTCACAAAGTGAAAACAGACTGGCACCTTTACAAGAGAAAAATCGCCAACTTTTGGGGAATGCAATTTGGCAAAAAATATTCTATATTTATATATACACATATATCTATTTCAGGGCCAGAGGGATAGCATATAGACGATAGAACATTTATCTTGCATTTAGCTGAGCAGGGTTGGATCGCTGGCATTTCATAAGGTGCCCCAAGCAACACCAGGAGAAACTCCTCAGTGCAGAGCCAGGAGTAACCTCTGAGCATTGCCAGGTGTGGCCTAAAAAACCCCCAAACCAAACAACAACAAATATATATATATAAATATATATATATATATATATATATATATAAACAGCTATATTGCATCTCTTTCTCCTTTAATCCTGCAACTCCAATTTTCCTAAGGTAATTTGTATAGTATCTACAAAAAAATGTATCAGGAAAGAGTAGACTAAATACATGCTATATATTACTTTTTACTAAAGTTACAAGTTACAAGTTTCATGACACAGTGTCTTCTCTCAAAAACAACTAGGTTGGTTAAAATAACAATAACACTGAAGTTAAAAGGTAACAACACCCTTGGTGACTGGAGTCTTCTACTTTCTAGTTCCATAATTTTTAAATTTCAAGCTCTTTTGTACAAGCAAAACAACACAAACCAGCCCCTAGAGGAGAAGGGTGCAAATTAGAGAAGATTGCTAGGACAAATATTAGGAAAGGCAGGACCAGATCGCAGGAACAAAAGGGGATGACCAGAATATTATTACCCAGAATATGACCCTTATTGCTCTGAGGTTGTATGTGCAAGGAACACAAGCTTGCAGTCATCTTGAAAATGCTAGACCTGCCTTGGGTCCCTTTCGACTTAATCCCCCCTGCATTCCTCCCCTCCCAGACAGTGACCCCTGTGCAAGTTTGGGGGCAACACCTAGAACATTTCCCAGACACAAGATGAAGGGCTTTGACATAAGGGAAAATAAGAACTTGCTTAAAATTCACAAGACCAATGTATGGCTTGTCCAAATTCTCAGGTCTCCATTCAGACCAGAAAACATTTAGCTGGGCAAAATTAATTTGCAAGTCATCCTATTAAACACCAATTTGCTGGGCCGAAGTACACAACCTATCAAAATTTACATTTGAGGGGCCAGAATAGGACGTTTGCTTTCCAAGCTGCTGCCCTGGATTTGGTCCGGGACAGCCCATATGGTCCCTTGAGGCTGGACTGACGGGAAATTTCTGAGTTCAGAGTCAACCAACAAAATAAAACTAAACAAAAAACCACCAACTTGTTTCTGCTGAAAGGGGTCTTTCCAGAAGAAGAAGACCTCGGTCAGGGCGGGATTTCGTTTTGAGCTTGCGCCACATCCAGGGGTGCTCAGGGTTTACTCCTGGACCTAAGTTCAGGGATCACTCCAGGTAGGCTCAAGGGACCATATATATGTAGTCAGGCGGGTGGAACCCAGGGCCCTACCCTCTCTATTGCTTCGACCTTTCAAGGGAACAAAATTTAACCGCATGTTTCTGTTCAAAAAAATTTTTTAAAGACTAGTTTAACAGCCAATCAGCGCAGGAAAGGGAGTTGGTCTTAGGATCGTGGAAACCTCATTGCCCAAGTTTATCTGGGCATGGGGAAGGGAGGTGCACCCCATCCATCACCCACAACAGCGACGCCTTTTATTTTATTTTACTTCTATTTCCATTAATTTCGTGCCCAGTCGATTTTTGGAAAAGCACCTTAAAATAGAAGGGTCAAAAGCAATTTAATTACGCAAGACTGAAAATGGGGAAGAGATTTTTTTTTCTTTTTTTAAATCACAAACCCACTGTCCCAACAACTCATCCCGGGAGAGAGAAACGGGCTACAGGGAACAAGTGGACAGCGAGCTGATTTCAGCCGATGCCTCTGTTGCCGGAACGTACCTGTGCTCAGGCCCACGAGCAGCAGCAGCAGGAGGAGCAGCGGCGGCCGCGCGGGACAGACCCGCGGCAACAGCTCCATGACGAAGACGGCGCGGCAGCAGCCGTACCGCAGGAGGAACCCCCGAGTCTGGTCACGTGGCGGGGAGGGCGGGGCCTGGCCTGGCCTCGGGGCGGGGCTGAGGCTTGCTCAGAACCGGGCGAGGGCGTGGCCCGGACCTTGTGGGGCGTGGCATGAACTCAAGGGGCGGGGCTGAGACGTGCTCAGAACCTGGGGCGGGACCTGCGCTCGTGGGGTGGGGCCTGGGCTCCAGGGAAGGCTTTCTAGTCACCCATGCAAGCCTTGCTCCTGGCTGGTCTCATGGGATTTTGTACCGAGCCGCCAGGGTGTTTTGACTGCCCCACTCTCCGGTTTGGGGGAGGTAGCAGAGAGAACGAGCTGTTCTGCGATGTGTCAGACGTGGGTGGGTCATGAGACAGGACCGAGAGGTTACTGAACCATATACCCCTTACCAATTCATTTCTTCCCTCTCAATTGAAAGATCTAGCGTTTGAAAAGCTGCCGCTTCTGCCCCAAATCACACGGACTGTGAGATTCCAGTTTCAGAGATTTGCTTGCAATATACATTTTTGTATAAAACTATGTGTATTAGAGATATTTGAGAAATTTTAAAAAACAGATTCTACATAACTTGCTGGCATTTGGGACATTTCTTAGTTTTATTTTTTATTTTATCTTCTGAAATAAAAGTTTTAATTCTGTTTCCCCCTGCCCCAAATTTGTCATCAGCATTATTTTTTGTTAACATTTTCACCACAGTCTTTTTTTTTTTTTTTTTTTTTTTGCTGTTTGGGTCACATCTGGAGATGCACAGAGACTACTCCTGGCTCTGCACTCAGGAGTTACTCCTGGCGGTGCTCAGGGGACCATATGGGATGCTGGAATCGAACCTGGGTCGGTCGCATGCAAGGCAAATGCCCTACCCATTGTGCTGTCTCTCCAGCCCCTCACCACAATCACTTTATTTTTTAAATTCTTTTCAGTTTTTGGGCCACACTTGGTGGTGCTCAAACCTTACTCCTGGCTCAAGGATCATTCCAGGTGCTGCCTAGAAGATTCTATGGGGTTTCTGCAATCAAATCCAGTTTGCCCATGTGCAAGGCAAATGCCTACCCACTGTTTTCTCTCTCTGGCCCTAGTTCCCAAATTTCAAATTCAGTTTCTGAGTTTAAATTCCTTAGACACAAATGACAGGAATAATAATTCAACCCTGTATGTTTGTGAGAGTTTATTTCTCAAATTTTCAAACTCAAAGAAGTGAATGAAGAACCAGAGCCTAAGGAGTTCACCTGAGTCCATTTGAGAATGCTTCCTGAATGACAAGGAACTCTCCTCAGCGTTCTGCAGTACTGGGCTCCCCCCAGTCCCTTCTCTCCTTCAGGGTGAGCAAAGTCCAAGTAGTGGGGCCAAGACTTTGATCCCACAGCCTCACCTGCAACTAGTAGCCTCCCCTCCTCCCCTCTCAACCAGAGTCAGAGAAAGTCAGTGAAAACATTGAGATTCAAGATCTCAGAACATTACAACGACCAAGTTCTGATTTCAATGACAGTCATTCATCATACATGAGAGCTGGAAAGAGGTCAAACTGAAAAGATAATCCATATCAGCTCTGAGATGGCAGGAGTGTCAGAATTATGGGACAAATACAATGTATTTGTGTCCCAAGTGCACCAAGTACATGGAAACTCAACATAAGAAAGTAATTTACTTTAAAGAGGGACCCAGAACCAGAGGAGAGATAGTCCAGTGCGCAGGGTGCTTGCCTTGATATAGTCTACCAGGTTAGATTTTGGTCCTGTATCTGGTTCCCTGAGCCCTATCAGAAGTGATCCCTAAGCGCAGAGTCAGGAGTAAGCCCTGAGCTCCACCAGAAGTCACCTAAAAACAAAAAACAAAAATACAATAGAGGGCCAGAGCAATGGTACAGCGGGTAGGGGCCTTGCCTTTCACAAGGTGACAGGAGTTCAATCCCGAAGTTCCCTGGCGTCCCATATTGTTCCCCCAGCACTGCCAGGAGTGATTTCTGAGTGCAGAGCCAGAAGTAGCATTACCCCTGAGCATCGCTGGGTGGCCCAAACTGCCCCCATCAAAAGGGGTGTGTGCAGAGGTAGTAAGGTGCTTGCTGTTGTATCTTGTTTTAAAGCCCTGTAGCACTGTCCTCCCGTTGTTCACTGATTTGCTAGAGCGGGCACCAGTAACGTCTCCATTGTGAGCCCTGTTACTGTTCTTTAGCATACTGAACGCAAAAAAAGTAACAAGCTGCACAGGGAGCTTACCAGGCTCTGCCATGTGGGCGGGACACTCAGTAACTTGCTGGGCTCTGCAACAGGGGCGGAACAATTGAACCCAGGTCAGCTGCGTGCAAGGCAAATGCCCTACCTGCTGTGCTACTGCTCCAGTCCCTTGTTTGAAAAAGAAAATATATTCGGAGTGTGCAGAAAGTGAGGTGCTTATGGTGCTTGCCCTGCACACACTCACCCTATTTCAATCCCTGGCGCTGCGTAAGGTCACCAGAGCACCATCAGGGGTCACTTGTGAGCATAGAGCTAAAATGAGCTCCTGAGGGTGTAGGAGCCTCCTCCTTCAAGTAGATAAAAAATACAATACCATTTACAATTGCTAAAAAAAAAAAAAGGATTATGTCTGTAAACCAAATTAATGAGATTGTACATTGAAATTGTACATTGAGACTGTACATTGAAAAAACACACATACGTTGCTAGTGAGATAAAATGATAAGATAAAATAAAATAATAATGATAGACAAAATGATAAGTCCGGTGGGGGTTGGGCTTAGGTCCTACCTAGTTTGGGTGCGCACGAAAGAGCCAAGTGGTCTTATAAATCACGTAAGCCTCATCTGAACCTTTTTGGACACCGAGAAAGTGAAAGAATATAGTGACGAGACAAATACTAACTTGGAAAGCTAGTTTATTTCCAAATATTTCTTTTCAACATTGCCAAACGAGAGCCCGTTGACAAGAACTGTGGGCCTGCTCATCATACAACGGGGATGAGCGAAAAAGGAATAAGAGCGTTTCATTCGCGCTCTTATCTAGGTGGGTCATGAGCAGAATTGGAACTCACCTGCTATCCTTTCGTGCCCCCCGCCAACACCCGCCCCCATAATTAGAGGCTGCATTAGCTGGAACCTACCCGCTCTCCCTTCTTGCCCCAACCCGTCCTCCCCCAGAGGCTGCAGTAGCCGCAGGCGACCAGCAGGTGGCGCTCCGCGGAGGCTGCCGAGGTGGGGGCGCCCGAGCACGCCCGTCGGCAGCTTTGTGGTAGCTCTCGGCTTCCGTGGCCCATCTAGCAAGATGGCAGCTTCCGAGACGGTTCGGGTACGGCTGCATTTCGAGTACCCGCCGCCAGCCTCTCCAAACTGCTCCTCCTTCTGGCTGCTGGTCGACCTGACCCGCTGCCGAGTCGTCACGGATCTCATCAGTCTCATCCGCCAGCGCTTCGGCTTCAGTTCCGGGGCGCTCCTGGGACTCTACCTGGACGGGGGGCTTTTGCCGCCCACCGAGAGCGCGCGCCTGGTACGGGACAACGACTGCCTCAGGTGCGCGTGCGCGGCGGCCTCGGGGACGCGCCTGCGCGCGCGGGGGGTGGGGTGGGGAGGGCCGCGGGACCGCGCGGGGAGGCAGTGGCGGCGGCGTGGCCCGCTGCCCCGGAGCCCTCCAGGGCCTCCTCGGGGCTCGGGGCCTGGAGTCGGCATCGTCCGTCCCGCTTCTGAAGCCGCCGCTTCAGGGGGAGGGGGAGCCCGGCCCCGGGGGCGCGGGGAACACTTCTCGGGTCCGGGGCTCGAGCAGGGAGGCCCCCGCGACTGCCCCCAGCGCCCGGGTGCGCTCTGAACCCGTGTCGCGGGACCCGGGGCTTGCAAATGGGGAAAGCCTGCATCTTTTCTGAGTGTGCTTTTGGGAAATAAGAACAGCAGAATCCCTAGGAGAAGCAGTGACGGGGAGGCGCAGTGATTGGGGAGATTCTTGGATGGGCGCGTTGCATGCATTGGGATACATTTGGAGCTTAGTTCCAAAGCGTCGGCTGCAGGCTGCAGGGAGCTCGAGGGAGGTTCGTGCCCAACGAGGACCACGTCCTGGAGTGTGGGATGCGCCTTTCTTAGACAAGGCATGCCCAGTGATTTATTGGGCTTGCGGCTGGTATCCTCCAGCGATTTGATACAACTTAGATGTCAGGATTTGCCTTCCCCTGAAGTCACTTGAGAAGGATCCCTCTTCTCTCTGCTGTCCTGAGTCTGCTTAAGTATCCCAGTTGTCCGTGCTGGGCCACCCCCTGTTTTACTCTTTCTGAGATGGTTCCCTGCCTAATGAATTAACTAACTCACAGGTCGCCACTGCAGCTAGACTTCGATTGGTAAATCATCCCGGAGTTGCTTACTTTGTAATGAAGTTAGTGTGGAGAGCCCATCAGGAGAGCTGCCCTACCTACTGCCTGATCGCAGGCAGAGTTCCTTTGACTTGCCTCAGATGCACTTACACATGGCAAGAAATATGACTGCAGTTGGTTTGCAATGGTGAAATGTATGCGTGTCTGGGACAGGGGGTGACGGGGAGTTGGGGTGGTGGTGGAGGGAGACCTTGGGAAGAAATTAGCCTTGGAAAAGTTATGTGTCCCCTGTTATTCTTTCTTTCCTGACTCCTTTATCTTTGAGCGGCAAAAGAGGCCAGAACAATAATGCAACGGGAAGGGTGCTTGCCTTGCACAAAAGCCGATCCAGGTTGGATCCCTGGCATCCCATATGGCCCCTGAAGCACTCCAGAAGTGACCTCTGAGCTCAGAGCCAGGAGAAAGCCCTGAGGCCCATCACGTGGGGCCCCCCAAAACAATTAAGAGATGCAGAAGAAAATGGGCCTGTGTTCTCCGAGGTGGCGTGGAGTAGACCGCACTCCTTTGGCACTGCTGAGTATTTACCTTGCACGCTGCGGGCAGCTAGCGTGGATGATCAGGTTAGGTCATGCCAACCTTATCTGAGTACAGAACAGGGGTGAGAGAAAGAGGGGGGCACAGGACGGAGATCATCAGGGAGTTAGTGGTCCTGCAGAGAATGGTTGGAAAATGTGGGGCGAGAGGGAGCCTGGCTTCAGCAGGCTTCTGGTGGGATTTCTGGGGGGTGCTGAGAGAGAGCTCATGAGGAAGGGGGGAGCAGGGTAAAGGCCATCACCCCCGCTTGCGTGTGCTGGTTATTTCCTGAGAGCCCGTCCTCTGTGCTCCCAGGCTGCTGACCTGGGCTTCGTGGCAGGCAGCACACTCCCCTGTTCGGTGCCCCGTGCTTTGATTGCTGGGGCCGCTCTGCCGAGGGGCACCCCTCGCTGCTCTGGAGACTCCAAGGCCAAGGCAGCGGCGAGTGCTGGTGAATTCTGGGCCCTTCGGGGACTTCTCTCGGCTGTGTCCTCGCATTCCTCAGTGTGAAAGCGTTGCTGGTGTCTTTTATGGTTTCTCTTTGCCAGACACCAGATTAGACAGGGCTGTAAGGCCCTGTCTCTAAATCCAGTTCGGTTCTGGAGTCCTGCGGGTTCGGGCTTCTATGACGGGGCGGATTAGGAGGGTCACAGTTGACGCCTTAACACACCCTGCTGAGATTGTCCCAAGGCCTGGCTGGAGCAGCCCGGCTGGAGCGCAGCCATGGGCCTTCAGGCTGGCAGATTGTTGCTGAAGCTCTTACTGTCAGGAGACAAAACGTGCTCTGTCTGTTCTTTTGGACTCCTACCCCCTCCCTGCGGTGTCTTGCCCTTGGTTAAGTGTCAGGGGTGGCTCCTGTTTCATGCTGCTGGACTTGGTCAAGCCCTCTGAGGTCCCTGTGAGGTCGGAGTGAGGCAGAGCCTGACCCAAGCGAAAGCGAGCTGTCCTGACACCTTCCGGTGCCAAGGAGGATACTGGCCGTGAAGGTCGCTGCTGATCCTTGTGCAGCTCTGTCTTTTGACACTAGACATCGTTTCCCGGGCTGCAGATGGCTTCTGGATTATAAGCCACCACAGCTGGCCTCTCCTGTGGAGGAGCATGTCTGACGCCATGGGCAGAGGAAGTTAGTCCTGGGCTACTTTCATTCTAGAATATTTGTAGTCCCTGCTTATGCTTTTTTACTTTTTAAAAATTTTATTTTATTTGTTTGCTTTTTGGCTTTTTTGGATCATACTCAGCTATGATCAGGATTTACTCCTGACTCTGCACTCAGAGATTACTCCTGGCGGTGCTCGGGGACCATATGGGATGCTGGGGATCGAACCCAGGTTGGCCGCGTGCAAGACAAACACCTTGTACTATAGCTGCAGCTCCCCTTATTCGTCTATTAAAAAAAAAAACAACGAAAATGCTGGTTTTGTTACTAATTTTTATTTGTTTGGGGTCAAATCTGTCTGTGCTCAGGGCTTCCTTACTGAAGGATTCTGCTCAGAGATCTCTCCTGACAGGGTTCAGGAGAACCGTACAGGATGTCAGGGATCAAACCTGGGTCAGTTGTGTGCTAGGCAAGCACCTTATGTACTCTACTATCTCCCTGACCCCCTCAAAAATTTGTTTGTTGTTTTGGGGGCCAGCCTGCCAGTTCTTAGGCCATGCTCCTGTCTCTGTGCTCAGGGCTGGTGGGGTTCAGGAACCATACACAGTGCCCGGGAACAAATTGAGTTGGCCCATGTAAAACAAACACTATCTGTTTGGTCTCTGCACGTCACTTTTTAGCTTAACATATGCTGGTATTTTTAAATTTGATGCTTATTCGTGATATATATTGTTCTTTTAAAATGCTGCATCATTCTCCTTTGTATGACTATGTGAGTTAACCAGCCACTTACCAATGGACATCTATTATTCTATAGAGCATATAATTGTATATCTTTGTGTGCTCTGGCATTGATTCAGGAGGATCAAGGGGATGGGATCATAGAAGAGTTACTTTGTGGCCAAATGTAATTTTTTTTCTTTGCTGTGTGGAGGGACAGGCCATGCTCAGGGGTTACTCCTGGCTCTGCACTGATCAGTAGTTACTCCTAACCGCGCTCAGGGTACTATATGGATTCTGGGAATTGAACCTGGAATTTGCCGCCTTCAAGGTAAGTGCCCTATTTCAGCCCCTTCAATGTAAATTTTGATAGGCACTGTTTGGTTGCCTCTTGAAAAATCATGCAGGGGTGTTTTTATCCAGCAGTAAACGAATTCCTTCTGTGAGATTTGTTATGAGCAGAATGAGAGCTGGAGTCAACCTTGGGTTCAAGTCTTGTCTCTCTGTCTCATTCACTGGGTGACCTTGGTCAGGTTTCCCTTTCTGAAGGTGATAATGCAGGCTGCCGTGTACCAACAGCAGCCAGACCACGCGGTGGGGGGGGGTGGGGGTGGGTTGCAGGGAACAGATGGGCCTCGGAGGGGAGAAGCCTTCATTGTTCGCCGCTTTGTTGAATTTCACTTCCATTTGATGGGAACAGTTCACTGAAAATCCACGAGCGTCTGCTCTCACACTAACTATTCAGTGAGTGAATTCATAAAAATTAGAGCTCACATTTGGGTAGCACTTATCCTGAGTTTATTTGAATGCTGTGATGCTCACTGCCCCCATTTTTGTAGATGAGAAAGGCGGGCCCAGAAATATAGCACAGTGGGTAGGGCACTTGCTTTCCATATGGCTGGCCCAGTTCGATCCCCAGCACCCCATCGAGCTCCCTGAGCACCATCAGGAGGGATCCCTGAGCACAGAGCCAACAGCAAGCCCTCAGCACCACAAGGTGTGGCCCCAAAGACCTCCCTAAAATGCCCCCTCTCCAGTCAAATCTCTCATCACTAAGTACACAGATCACTCCCTTTTTTTTTTGGGGGGGGTCACACCTGGCGAAGCACAGGGGTTACTCCTGACTCTGCACTCAGGAATTACCCCTGGCGATGCTCAGGGGACCATATGGGATGCTGGGAATCGAACCCGGGTCGGCCGCGTGCAAGGCAAACGCCCTACCTACCCACTGTGCTATTGCTCCAGCCCCCAGATCACTCCTTTTTGTTTGGGGGCCACTCCTAGTGGTGCTCAGGACTTACTCCTATCTCTGGACTCAGGGGTTACTCCTGGAGGTGCTCCGGGGACCATATATGGTGCCGGTTCAGCTGCATGCAAGGTTGGCACCCTACTGCTGTACTATGCTCTGGCCTCAGTAACTCATTTCATTTTTCATTTCATCATCCTGTTATTCGTCGATTGCCTCGAGCAGGCCCCAGTAACGTCTCTTTCATCCTAGCCCTGAGATTATATTCAAGGCTATTTAGGAGAATGAGACCCATCATTGTTACTGGTATTTGGCATATTTGGTACGCCACGGGGAGTTTGCCAGACTCTGCCCTGTGGGCAGGCTACATTCGATAGCCTGCAAGTTTGTCCAAAGTAGGAATGAGACAATAAGATGTCATAAAAAAAAGTTCTGATAAGGGGCTCCGGGAAGGAACACCCAGGCGCGGGGGCAGAAGACTGCACTGTTCTCGTCCGGGATCTGGATTTTATAGTCTCTGAGTCTTGGCCGCTGATGGGATTACACGGCGCCAGGGGGCCAGGTGGTGGGTGTGACCCCCGCCTACTGGAATTTGGAGGATCTGGGTGGAAGATGCTCGACTCCAATTCGAGTAGGCTTGGAGGTCTCGGCCCCGGAACCCGCGTGGCTTTGTCCCTCTGCCAGTACCTTCATGTGTGCGGAGAGTGGTCTCAGCATGGTGGTGGCTGGTCCTGGAGGTCTTCGGCCATACCACCCTGAACGCGCCCGATCTCTGTAACTCAGTTCCTGTAAAAGGACAGCTGTTTTCAGTTATCTTGTCAGAATACTACATTTGCTGTCTGTGGCCTATGTAGAGAAATGAGGAATGTTGTGTAGGAAAGCGAGTACCCTGGTAGGAAAGGTCACTAGACAGAGCTGTGCAAAATGTTTCAGTGTTCTGGATGCATCTGGTTTCTCAGTCTCAGTTTGTCCCAAGCTGGAGTAGCTCTGTGGGCAGAACAGAGAGTGAGGCCACGCACTTGCAAAGTCATGGCCGCAGTTACAGAGCCAGAGTCCTCGGATGGTCCAGCAGGGACCAAGGACTGTTGTGGAAAGTGTGAGGGAAGTGCTACCAGGAATAACCCATTGAACGCCTGAGCAGTGCTGGGGGGGGGGGGGGGGGGCGGAAGGACGACACCTCTCCTCTCCCAGAGGAACTCCTTTTTGGTGATGTAGATGTTTAATAGATTAAACAAGTGAGTTCAGAGTAACCACAGTCGATGTTTTGTGGGTCATTTTTGTCACAAAATCTCTGTCATTAAATGATTTAACATTTTTTTCTTTGAGAACAATGGCAGTTTGCAGGTATCTCGGTGTATAACTTATGAATGGCTTACTCTTGTTTTCTTTGTTGTTCTTTTAATAGAATTAAATTAGAAGAGAGAGGAGTTGCTGAGAATCCTGCAGTGGTCACTAATGGTGATGGTGGCCAGTTAATTCCTAGAAAAGTGAAGAAGCGGGCCTTTAAGTCGGAGGAAGTTGAAGAAACCGAAATGGATTGCAGAGCCTCAAAAAAGCATTGCAAGAGGCAAGAGAACAGTAAGAGAAATGAGAAAAACTTGATTCCAGAGCCCAAATCCTCGAAAGGTCATAGTGTAAAGAAAAAAAACAAAAAGAAAAAGAAAGCTACAGGTCAGAGAGCAGATGATGATGATGATGATGATGACGATGACGATGAAGAAGAAGAAGAAGAAGCCCAAAGGAAAACACCAAAGAAAAAGGAAAAGCGTGAATACAGAAAACAGACAAAGACTCTCAAGTCTTCTAAAGCACAGACAGCAAGAGAGCGGACCGTCCAGAACTCCAGCTCTTTATACAGTGCTCATGCCCGAAACAGCATCCTTAAGCGCAAAACTAAAGGTGGCGTGGACAGCTGTTCAAAAGGCAGCCCCAGTTCTGACTCAGACTCGGAATCAGCCAGTGAGGGTCTCGGCAAAGCTGTCTCTAAGAAAACACCTCCTGAGTTGTCAAAGGAAGAACCCCTGACCAAAAATGCCAAGGCAAGCGAAGTGGCTGCCAAACCTGGCGTTCCCTCCACCCCTGCCCCCGGCAAGTCGTCCGGGACCTCATCTTCTGATTCAGACTCTAGTTCCGACTCTGATGACCAGAGTACAACTTCGAAGATCAACCCCAAGGCTCTCTTGCAGAGAGTGGGCCTCTTTGCAGGAAAAACGTGCCCAGGTCAACGGCCGTTAACACAGACCCCAAGTCCTGCCGCCGGGAAGTACTCTGACACCAATGGTGGCCCCCAGGTTCTCAGCCCTCCTCCCAATGTGACTCTCCCCTCCACTTTGGGAAGAGGCTGGGGGAGGGGAGAGGACTTTCTTCCTTGGAAGGGAGCACGGGGTCGGGGCATGCGGGGACGTGGTCGAGGCCGAGGTTTTCCCAATGTCTTAAATAGAAATGCGGAGAATGCGAAGCAGCAGCAGCTCAGTGAAATGGTAACAAACTCATCTATAATTATCCAGGTAAATATGACGATTGTGAGTTCATGCCTTCCCGGTTTCCCACTCGGTGGAGCTGGTGGGGGAAGTGTACATTTTTCTCACCGGTGTCCAAGCATCTTACTCAATCCTGTCTTTCAGAACCCAGTAGAGATGCCCAAGAATGAAAACAGTCCCTTCCCGCCCCCAAAGGACTACAGTCTGTTACCGCTGCTGGCAGCCGCCCCTCAAGTTGGAGAGAAGATTGCATTTAAGGTATACTTTAAAGCAGCAGCAACTGTGGCAGAAAAACATGATTCCACCCTCAAACACACTTATTAGCAGGTCAAGTTAAATATTACCTCTAGAAACCCTTCCAGGTTAATATCTTTGGTGTTCTCATGCCTATTATATAGTAAGTATCCTGTAACTATTTTCTGAATGAATGAAAAATTACTTGGCTTGGTGTCTGGGACACAGCAAGTGCTCAATAGAAGTAACCGTACATACCAGCAGAATACAGACCACTAGAACTTATTCCAACTGGAACCCCTTTTGCCACAGATTTTTCATAGGGCTTCTGGAGAAGCTCAATGTTACATGTTCTCTCAGGGAGGTAGGGTAGCGGATTCACAGGATTTGTTTGTTTGTGAGCATTCTTTTCTTTCTTTCTTTCTTTTTTTTTTAGCTTTTGGAACTAGCACTCGATTATTCTCCTGGGGTTTCTGAATACAAGGTAAGGCTGTTCATTAAAAAAAAGAATTGTATACTAAGGAATCTGAGGCACTACTTAAAAGTATTAATAGGGGCTAATAGAAAAAATTTTGAATGAAAAAATGTCAGAGTCGGGGCTGGAGTGTTAGTGTAGCAGATAGGGGACTTGGCCTTGCACATTACATTGCCAACCCGGGTTTGATCTATCCCCTGAGCCCTACCAGGTGTGATCTCTGAGTGCAGAGCTAGTGGTAAGCCCTGAGCACCACAGGGTGAGCTTTTCAATAGTGTATCTGTGAAATCTCCCGATGTCATTTTCCTTATACTGGGTAGAATATTGAACAAGAGTGATGGGTTAGATTTTTTCAGTCTCTTTTTTTTCATGAGCTTAAAGCTTAGATAAACGAGGTAATCTTAAGTATCTCTCCTCATGCTCTTAAACTTTGAGATCATCCTCCTCCCCTTTTTTTTTTGGGGGGGGGGGAGGGCGGTAGGCTACTCCCACATGCAAGGCAAGCTTCTGAACCCTGTCCTAGCTCTCAGGCCCCATGCTCTTATACTTTGAAAGAAAATAAATAATTCTAAGTCAAAAGATGTGATTATGTTCATCATAATAATCTATTGTATATATAATTACTGTAGGCTGTTGGTCTAATATGGTTTCTTTTACATTATCATTTAGTCGCAGATTATGGAGCTGCTTTGTAAATTTTTTCAGGGTATGAGGAGAGGCTACACCTGGCAGTACTTAGAGTTTCTTCCAGGCTCTGCACTCAGGGATCGATCCTGGCAGTGCTCAGGGGGCCATATAGGGGTGCCCGGGTCACCTGTGTGCAGGGGCAAATGCTCTACCCACTGTTCTATTTTTCTGGCCTGATCATGGAGCTTTTTACTAGCGTGTGAGCTGATTTTTCCCCTTCTATATTGGGGACCAAGCCCAAGGCCTCACGTGTGGGATACACAATCTACCACTGAGTCACACCATTGGCCCTGACATAAGAGTTTTATCACAGTTCTCTGGAAACTTGACACAGTGCCATACAGAATAATACATTTTCTTCACTTTTTCACTCATCCTGTGTTTCGTTGCTTTTGATTTGGGGGCCATGCCATGCAGTGCTCACTGTGTTGCCAAGAACCAGGGCAGGGCCAGGGTGAGTGCATCTGTGTTATCCCCCTTCTCTTAAGCTACTTTTAAACTCTTGGTAGAATTTTTCTTCAAAAGCAAGCTAGAGGGATCAGCTCGTGAAGGGACCTGATGAGTTAGGTTTGGATAACTGGTGTTTTCTCATGTTTTTCATCTTAGCCCTTAAAATAACTGGCTTATGATTTATCACTTTCATACTTCCATCAGGACAGTTACAAATGAAAAGGGGAGTTGTCAGTAATTATACTGGAAAGTGATGTACACACACTTGTTCTGGGCAAACCAGAGGTTTTGTTATCCTACCAGAGGTAACTCATCCTGTGATAGAAGAGGAACTAGGAATAAATCCAGGATTGCTACAGTCCACAGCCTTTACATACCGTGATTCTAGGTGCTGTTGATTCTTAATTGCATATGAAATAAATGTTGGAGCTTAAAAAGCTGCCTACTTTTTATTTTTCAGCTTTTTTTGGGGGGGGGGGTCACACCCGGAGATGCACAGGGGTTACTCCTGGCTCATGCACTCAGGAATTACTCTTGGCAGTGTTCAGGGGACTATATGGGATATATAGGATGCTGGGAATCCAACCCAGTTTGGCCTTGTATGAGGCAAACGCCCTATCCTCTGTGCTATGGCTCCAGCTCCCAATTTTCCAGCTTTTTTTTTTTTTTAATGTTCTGGACTGAAAATCTTTCCTGTTTTTGTTTTGCCTTCAAGTGCTGGTACTCTGCCCGCTGACCTCTTTTATTCATGAAAATGACCTCTTTCTTCAAGAATGTCATCTCTTTGGCCCTTGACCTGGTCCCATTTAAACCTTTGAGATTTTCATTTATGAGGTGACTGTGAGTTGGCAATGAAAAGGCGGCACCATTGGAAGAATCATTTAATGATGACGTTTCCAGAGCAGAGGGGAAGGCTACCCTCAGGATCAGGAGGCAGATGCAGAGGCAAGAAGAGTGGAGACTGGAGTTCTGACTGCCCAGCATCTCACATATGGTCGGTCCCCTGAGCACAGAGTTCAGGAGTCAGCCTTGAGCACTGCTGGGTGTGGTCCCCAAGCCAAAACAAAACCCAAGAACTGTCCCAGGTCACATGCTACCTGATAAAAGGATGATTTACCCTGGTAGTATTGTCTAAGAACTATTGTTGGGAATATTGTCTTGGTGGGTGGGCTGGAGTGTAATGTTCCCTGTGTGGTAAAGTTAAGTTATTTTTCAAAAACATATAGTTGGGTTATGATTCACCACTTTCACTATTTTTAGGTATATAAACGCAGTGATTTTAATATGTTTGTAATGTTTCATGTGTTGATTTTTGACCTGGACTTTTATTTTTGAAAGGAAGGAAAAATACTAAACCACAATCCTGAGACCCAGCAAGTAGATATAGAAATTCTTTCATCCTTACCTGGTGAGTTTTCTAGAAAGGAATAAAGGAATTTGACCCTTTAGGTTCCTACTATCTATATTTCTTGGTTGTTTTTTTTTTGGTGGGGGGGGAGGGAGTCACACCCAGTGATGCGCAGGGTTACTTATGGTTCTGCACTCAGGAATTACTCCTGGCAGTGCTGAGGACCATATAGGATGCCAGGGATCAAATCCTCTGTCCTATCACTCTGCCCCTCTGATTGGTTTCTTAATAGCTTTTGTCATACAGTAAAGCCAAAATGAACTGATACTTGCCACTCTGCTCGCTGGTGCTCCCTCAGGAGGGCTGTGTGCCTCATTGCTATTCCCAGTGTCACTAGCCTAGAGATTTATATCATTATAATTGAGTGACTTTATAAAAAGGGCATAGATGGATGATTGCAGAGAACTGTTTCTGTGAAACCCAGGTTGAACTCCGCTGCCTCAGAAGTGTCTCAGAAATAATTGTTATTGAGTAATGTGGGTTGAGTCAGTTGGAAAAGACTGGGAGAAGTTTGGTAAAACCCTAATAAGATTCCTTTTTATTTTTTTTTCTTTTTGGGTCACACCCGGCATTGCACAGGGGTTACTCCTGGCTCATGCACTCAGGAATTACTCCTGCCAGTGCTCAGGGGATCATATGTGATGCTGGGAATCGAATCTAGGTCAGCCACATGCAAGGCAAATACCCTACTCATTGTGCTATTGCTCCAGCCCCCCAGGAAGACTCTTGCTTAGATTGCCTTGTTCGTTTTTGCATTCCTGCATCACTTAAAAAAAAACAGTAAAAACTGGAAATGGTGGGAATTGCTGGCATTACATTGTACACACATGTATCTAAACATAATTCATATATGTATGAGATACTTATCACACCTCTTGTGCTCTGTTTCATTGGCATGTAAGCATACTTTCATGTGTGAAGGCAAAACAGATTATTTAAAGTACATGTGCGAATACATTCTCACACTTTGTTTTTGAGGAGGGAGCCACACCCAGCACTGCTCAGGGGTTCCTCCTTATTCTTGGGCTCAGGGCTCTTTCCTAGCGAGCTCAGGGGACCATATGGGATGATGGGGATTGAACCTGCTGTACTTTTGCTGTGGTCTTCTTCACACATTTTTGTGTTTGCTTTGGGGTACTCCTGGTGGTACTCAGGGATTATTCTTGAGTCAGTGCTCAGGATTTGCTCCCAACAGTGCTCCGGGGACCACACACTGCCAGGCCTTAAATCCAGACCCCACACATGCAAAGCTTGCACTCAACCCTTTGAGTTTTGGGGGGACTTTGGGGCTGTTTCCAGCTCTGTTCCACATCCTTTTGCTTAATTTTATTTGTTTATTTATTTATTTAATTTTTGGGTCACACCCAGTGATGCTCAGGGGTTACTCCTGGCTCTGCACTCAGAAATTATTCCTAGCAGTTCTGGGGGAATCATATAGGATGCTGGGGATTGAACCCGGGTCTGCCGCGTGCAAAGCAAATGCCCTACCCGCTGTGCTATCACTCCGGCCCCTCCATATTCTTTTAAAGGATTTCCTACTTTATCCCCTGACTTACCTCACCTATCATTGGTTCTGGAAATTTAGAGAACAAGGACTTTTCTGTATATAATTTGACTTTTCTTCCCAAAAGGTCAAAAGGCATTTGAATAAGATTCAAAAAGGCAAAGATTCAAAACTCCAATGTCCAGAAATTAGTCAAAAGAGTTTTTCAGCAGAACCCCCTTATAATATGAAGTAGGTTATTAAGTGCAAATCATATTGATTTTCCAGCTGATTAGGTTTGGTCTCTCTCCCCACCCGTACGGGGCATGGAACCTAGGGTCTCACACAGAGCTTGCACTCTAGCCCAGATGAAAAACCCTGATTAGGGTTCACTTTAAGAAATCTCCCAACATAAAGTAACAAAATAGGAGACTAACACCCAAGAATAGCCGAGATAAGTACCAGGAGGTTTACTCCATGGCTTGGATGCCAGCTGTACACTCTAGGGGTAAAGGCAGCTCAGATAAAGAAGGGAGCACCAAATAAAGGGTATTGGGAAGATCCGCCCAGGATGGGAAATGCATACTGAAAGTAGACTATAGACCGAACATGATTGCCACTCAATTCCTCTTTTGCAAACCACAGCACCCAAAAGGAGAGAGAGAACAAAAGGGAGTGCCCTGCCACAGAGGCAGGGTGGGATGGGGGCATGCGGGGTGGGAGAGATACTGGGATTAGTGGTGGTGGGAAATGGGCACTGGTGAAGGGATGGGTACTCGATCATTGTATAACTGAAACCCAAGCACAAAAATTTGTAAATCTACAACTGTACCTCATGGTGTTTCACTAATAAAAAGCAATCTCCCATTTTATGGGGGCTGGAGCAATAGCACAGCGTTATGGCATTTTCCTTGCATGCAGCCGACCCGAGTTCAATCCCCAGCATCCCATATGGTCCTCCAAGCATCGCCAGGAATAATTCCTGAGTGCAGAGTCAGGAGGAACCCCTGAGCATCGCTGGGCATGACCCCAAAAGCAAAAACAAACAAAAAGAAATCTCCCATTTTAGGACTTTTTGTCTGGGGTCACATTCTAGAGACACATCCTGATTTCTTCTTGACTGGTGACTGATAGTTATGGCATCCAGTGAGAACTTTGTGTTCCCAGGCCAGAGCAATAGTACAATGGACAGGGCTTTGCCTTGCATGTGGCCAACCTGTATTTGATCCCTACCCCCCACCCCCGCAATACGGTCTTCCTGAGCACTAGCAGGAGTAACCCCTGAGTATCAGTGGCCACCCCCCCCCCACACACAAAAAAGAAGAAGAACTTTGTGTTCTCTGATAGAATTACAGGACCACTCATATCACATGGTTCTGATATACATGAACTTCCTAACATCATCAGATACAATCCCCGGACCATACTGGACATATGTTAACTGTGAATGGTTGCAGAAAGCACTGTTAGTGAGTTAGTCTACGGTCCACATAAGGAAGTGGTGCCCAGCGCTCTGGACGCATCACTTCTTCTGAAGTCTGTTAGTGATTGCCGTGCCTCCGCTCGGTTCCCATTCACGCACAGCCCACGGGAGTTATGCCGGGGTAGGCCAAGCCGCTCTCACTGTCTAGGGGTCCTTGACAGCCAGGGGCCTGAAGAGGCCTAGGGAGTTAAAGCGTCCATGAGGTCAGGAGCTGAAAGCCCCTGAGTGCTGAGGTGACGGATTGCCCCCAGTTTGGGGGGCCCTCATGAGGAAAATTTAAAAAACGGCAACAGACAGGCATGCTCATCCCGGTCGATGTTTCGCCTGCTCTCCGCGCAAGTGCACACTTAACACTCGGGTCCACTCCCTGCCCCTCGCAGGAGTGGTCAGCACTGCGACATGGTAGCTGAGCTTCCTTCTGAGGGAAGGAGGACATTGACGGAACTCATGTTATCTCTTTGTAGAAGTGTTTCTCTTTGGTTTGGGGGCAGGGGGGTAGTTTTGCCTCATCTGGGACCACAGTGGCCAGCGGCTCTCAGAGGCCCCATGGAGCTGGGGCTCCAGCCCTGGCCTCCAACAATCACAGCTGAGCTGCAGCCCCTCGGGTCCTCTCCCAAGCCCCCTATCATTTATTTCTGGAATCTTCTTGTGGGTCTGAGTTTTTGGAGAAAAAGGCCTAGTGACAATTTATTAAGCTATTTTTTTCTTTCTTTGTTTTTGTTTTCCGGAGCTTGGGGGACCATATGGAGTGCAGGGCCAGGAAGTGCCTGTGTGTCAGGTTTTCTGAGGGTCTCCTGGCTCTGAACACTCCATACTGTCAGAGCATGCCCATCCTTGGTGTCAGTGGGCAGTCTGTTGGGTTTTCTGATGATATAACCTCCCCATAGAGCAGAGTTTTCACTACTGAGAAATCACTCACTGTCTCTCCTCCCTGCCCCCTGGTTTCAGCCACGAAAGAACCTGGGAAGTTTGACTTGGTTTATCACAACGAAAATGGAGCTGAGGTAGTGGAGTACGCTGTGACGCAGGAGAAGAAGGTAGGCGTGCTTCTCTTCATGGCATTGCTTGATCTCCCATCTTTTCCTGCCTGGTTACCAGTGCTCTGTAAAGTGACCTTGCAGCTTCCTGAATGCCTGCAATAAAATCAGAAAAGTTGGGGCCAGAGCCATAGTACGTCAGGAAGGGCAGGGTGCTTGCCTTGCCTGCTTCTGACGCAGGTTCTCTTCCTGACCTCACCCCATCCTGGCCCCCTGAGCCAGCCAGGAGTGATCCCTGAGCCCAGAGTCAGGAGTAAGCCCTAAGCACAGCCAGATGTGACCAAAAACAAAACAAAAAAATTTTAATCATAAACAGTACAGGACCTGGCCTACAGAGGGGGCAATAGTAGTGCCAAGTGCCTTGAGCATCCAAGAGCCTAGATGATAAGGGGTACACATAATGAACTCCTATTTAAGAGTGTAGAGTTGCATAAAAATGTAGCCACATAAAAAATTTTGGCAGAGAAGAGTAGCCCGCTTAAAAAAATTTTATTGGGGCTAGAGGGTAGCACAGCGGGTAGGTCGTTTGCCTTGCACGCGGCCGACCCAGGTTCGATTCCCAGCATCCCATATGGTCCCCTGAGCACCGCCAGGGGTAATTCCTGAGTGCAGAGCCAGGAGTAACCCCTGTGCATCGCCGGGTGTGACCCCCCCCCAAAAAAAAAGCAAAAAAAAAAATGTTTTGATGCCTTCATTCAGAAAAGTGTACTTAAGTATATCACAAATGAACGTGCTCAGTTAACCAGCACCCAGATCATTAAGAGAATATTGTGGGTCATGAGAGGTATCGCGGCAGGTAAGGCATTTGCCTTGCACCCGGACAATGAGGATTCAATCGCCAACATCCTGTGTGGTCCCCTGAGTTCACCAGGAGTCATTCCTGAGTGCAGAGGGAGGAGTAACCCCCTGAGCACCACTAGATGTGGTACCCCCCCTCCAAAAAAAAAAAAAAAAACTATTGACAGCCTCTGGAAACCCTTAATTATTTCTCCTTATAATCACTCCCACTATCATTACCATTATAATTTTCTGTATCTTGGATCATAAAATGATAATTCTATCTTTTGTTTTTGTTTGGCCGCCATACCTGCCAGTGCTCAGGGCTTACTCGTGATTCTTCATGCAGAGGTCACTCCTGGCAGGCTTGAGGACCATATAGGATACCAGTGATTGAACTCGGGCTGGCTGCATGCAAGGAAGGCAGAATGTATTACTGGCTGTATCTCTCCAGCCCCAAGAGTTCTGCATTCTAGAATTGGTCATGGATTCTGAGTCCTAAGTAGTGGTTGGTTTCAGCCACGGGTTTCGACCTGCAGATGCAGAGGTCTGATATGAGTATTTCTGGGATCTTGTACTGCATTCACTGGAGCTCCGAATCGCCACATTGTTCAGTGGTTAAATCCAGGCTGGTCTCAGCTGTTGAGGCAGCCAGACTTCCAAATTGCTGGGCATGGCTGGCTTATTAGGTAATGTTAGTATTAAATGAAACAGATTTTTTGTTTGTTTTTGGCATTTGGCTTTGGGCCACACCCGGTGATACTCAGGGCTTACTCATGGCTCTGCACTCAGGAATTACTCCTAGTGGTGCTCAGGGGACTATATGCAATGCCAGTGATCGAACCTGAATCGAACCTGGGTCGGCCACGTGCAAGGCAAGTACCCTACCTGCTGTACTATCATTCTGGACCCGTAAACTAAATAGAACTTATGTGTAAGAAAATCCTTCTCCTGAGTGTTTTATGTAAAGGATATTATTCTGTTAAGTTTCAGTATCGCAAACTCACTTTTATCGGAAATGTAAAGTTTAGGAAACCCTAACTGCGTTGTATATTTTGTTTTGTCTTTAGGATAGATGATATTCTTAAGAATTTCTATAAAACAGAAAAAATTCAGGGCCTGTGGTAGGATCAGCAGGTCTGACCTTCTATCTGAAAGGTACACTTGGAAACTCCATGGCAAGAGAGAATTAGCCCCTGGAGGCTTTGCTCTATAGATGCTTATTAACCAGTGACCTGAAGATGAACCTGTAGTTATCTTTTGTGGACACTAGATGGCCCTCATTCATCCATAAGCATTTGGAAGTTGTGAACTACTTCCTAGTTGGGGCAGCTTTGGGTAAGAACTACAGAACTGCAAGCAAGGAGTGTCAGCATCTAACACTGACCCGCCTGGGGCCACGTTTACCTCCACACTCTGTACTCTGTACTCTGGCCAGCTCTGGTCGCTGTTGGACAAATCCTTCAAACAGCCACCACCCCCACAATCCCTGTTCCAGATCAAAGAGTAAGAATAATGGGGAGTTTTGCTGCACTCAGGTAAAAAGGCCTTCTGCTGTAATTGAACATAGATAATGAGAACTGCAGGCATTCTAGGTCTTCAGCCATTCTGCCCTGCTGGGGACTTCCTTGATTGTCTGATGGGTTTTGACCAGTATGCCCTCCAAATTAAGTCTCTAAATAGAATGTTTTGTGTTTTTCTTTAGATCACCGTTTTCTGGAGAGAGTTGATTGATCCGAGACTGATTATTGAATCTCCGAATAAATCAAGTCCAAAGCTTGCCTGACTGTGACCTCTCTAGCTCACAGTTTACAGATGTCTTATTTGTGAAAGTGACTATAAACCTGAACTTTTTTTTTTTTAAAAAAAGAAGATTTGAAAATTGTTTGCATTTTTTTGTTACCTTTACTGCATAGGGGGAAAAAAATCTACCTCATGTTTTAAAATCACATGGGCATTGCTTTTGTAGACTTTTTTGCAGGTTTAATTTCAAGTACAAAATTTAAAACATGACATTCCCTGCAGACATTGTTATATGCCAATGTGTATGTTTTTTTTCTTTTAAAAAATTCTTTTTACCATCAAGTAGCCATCGTCAGTAGGAGCTTGTTAGACCAAGTACTAGGAAGCACTGCATATCTTGTTTCATAAATTTTATTGAGTAACATTTGAAAACATGGGACCATGTTACTTGACTCAATTTTTTAAAATTTGAGTTGTTCCATTAAATTTGGAACATCTTAAAAAATCAAGTATTTTATACTTGTAATTGTCAAGAATTAATAAGTAGTTAAGTTTGTTGCAGGCAATGAGTCAATCCTTTCACATTTTTCTTAACTTTCAACATCAAGGATTCTCAGGGCCCTGTGAAAATAAGACCACCTGGGTGTGAGGGTGTGTGTGTTTGTGTATTTGTGTGTGTTTGTGTGTATGTGCCTGGGGAATAATTGTCTTCTAGGTGGGTGCAAGGATTTACTGAGCTCAGGCCAGAGAAGTGATGCCTTGCTACAAAATTCCAAGAATCTGGCTGAGTATTGGAGGACAGATCTTGAACAGAAATTTTCTTTCCTGTTATTCAGTACAAAGCTAAAATGGGAAGATACAGACTGTGAAAAGAAAAAAAGAGAAACGAAACGCAAGGGTCATTTTGATGAAAATCCAGATCCTTCAGTTTTACAGAAGTTTGTAAATAAAATCCTGTTGAACTGAAACTTCTCTCCTGAGTCATCATGTTTAGTTGAGAATTTCACATTGTTTTCTTTCTTATTTTACAATAATGCAAGAGATTAAAGTTTTCTGGGTGGCCACAGCGATAGTACAGCAGGTAGGGCGCTTGCCTCGCACACAGCCACCCCAAATTTGATCTCTAGCATCCCATATGGTCCCCCGAACCTTCCAGGAGCGACCCCTGAGTACAGAGCCAGAAGTAAGCTCTGAGAACCAAACCAAAACAAAGTTTTCTAGAAGAAAATTTGTCTTAACTGAAGAATCTGGTTGTCTATTGGAGTCTGTGAGATCTGGGAGCAATTGAACCAGTGTAAATGCTTTGCCATTTTAATTTGTATGACACTGATGTATATCAAGATGTGGAGTTTAAAAAAAAAAATGAGAATTGCTACTCCAGAACGAGTGTGTGATGGCATCGTGGCCTTTGGCTCCTGTGTTGCACACTTCTTTTTCAGGGCTTGGAAAACGAAGGAAGATGACGAGTAGATACCTGCAGGAATGTGAAGAGAGACTGGTCATCACCAAGCACCAGGCAGTGCCCGTCACAACCACAAGAGTGCAGATGCCAGAAAGAGAAGAAATAATAAATGCAGGCAGTAATCAGGAGGAAGGGGGGCACTGAATCTTGTTGGAGGGACTCTAGATGGGTGCGACAGCTCTAGAAAGAGGTTTGGAGGCGTCTTAAAATAGGATCATATGATGAAAATAGGATCATCATATGATCCAGCCATTTCACTCCTGGGTATTTATCTGAAGAAAATAGAATCACTCATTTGATAAGGGGCTGGAGCTATAGCACAGCGGTAGGGCATTTGCCTTGCACGCAGCCAACATGGCCGACCCGAGTTCGATTCCTCCGCCCCTCTCGGAGAGCCCGGCAAGCTACCGAGAGTATCTAGCCTGCACGGCAAAGCCTGGCAAGCTACCCGTGATGTATTCAATATGCCAAACACACTAACAAGTGTCACAATGGAGACGTTACTGGGCCCGCTCGAGCAAATCAATAAACAACGGGAGGACAGTGATAGTGACAGTGACATTTGATAAGATCAGTGTTACTCCCACTTCAAAGAAGCATTATTATGAATAGGTTCTGGTTTTGTGGGGGACACACCCAGCAGTAGGTCACACCTGGAACTACTGATTCCTGGGACTTTGTGCTGGGATCTCCAAGCCCAGGGATTCCTCATGTGAAGTCTGAACTCCAGCCCTTTGAACCATCACCCTGATCCCACAGTAATGTTATTTATGGTAACTCGACCAGCGGAGAAATGTGTCCAGAGGGGAAGGGGACATGAAGAGGAGGACTAGAAGTGACAAAGTTGTGGGTGGAGAATCTTAGGTGGGTGTGCAGAAATTATTTTTGAAACAGTTTCAAGAGCAAACGTGTGGGCCTGCGCTGGATGAGAGTATTCGGTGGCCAAGAACCATTCCCCTGGCCAGCCCACAGTGACAGACGGACAAAGGACCAGGAAACAGAAACAGGGATTGGGCCTCAGGCTGGTCGGTAATCTGTTGTTTATTTCTCCTCCCCAGCATAGTCAGATCTCTCCCTTACAGCACAATCGTTGTCGAAGTTTTGCTCATAGTCCCAGTCATCATAGTTCCATCATCCTCGACCTCATCATAGTGCTTATTGTAGTCCTAGTCTTCTCCTACCCCATACAGCATAGTTATATAGAAGTCATGAAGGGTGGGGGTACACATAGGTGGGGTTGAACATTGTCATAGCAACAAACAGAGGTAAAGCTGCTCCTTCAGGGGAAGTTCTAGGAAATTAAGTTCAGGACAAAATCTCATATGAGGGTTCAGCACTCCAGATTACTAGAAGATCCGCTCAAGGGTGGGATTCCATCCAGGGTGTATTGCTTCCTCCTTTCCTCAGCTAGTAATCCATTTAAACAAGAATAGTGAGTTTACTTCTTAACTAATATTTCTAGTCATTTTGTATGAACTTTAGCACTGTCTTCCTGTTGTTCATCCATTTGCTTGAGCGGGCACCAGTAACGTCTCCATTATGAGACTTCTTGTTACTGTTTTTGGCATATCGAGTATGTCACAGGGAGCTTGCCAGGCTCTGCTGTGCAGGCAAGATACTCTGGGTAGCTTGCCGGGCTCTCCAAGAGAGACAGAAGAATCAAACCCGGGTCGGCCGCGTGCAAGGTAAATGCCCTACCTGCTGTGCTTAACACAGTAAGAAATATATTAAGCTCAAAGCTTGGCTCTTCCTGGGGACATCCTGCTACATATTCCAGACCACAGTCCTTAGGCCAGGTTACTCTTTCCTAAGCCCAACAGGGTCCTTTTTTCAGTTACTTCTTTTTGGGTCATGACAGAATTTGTCCATGACTGTGCTCTTAACTTATATGTTTGGTGCTTAGCTTGTCCCTTTCCGATGCCAGGATAGCTTACAGCTTGCCTTGGGCCATCCAGTCCCTTCATCGGGACCATCCTTTTGAGGGTGTTAAGAAGTAAAGGCGGGGCTGGAGCAATAGCACAGCAGGTAGGGCGTTTGCCTTGCATGCAGCCAACATGGCCAACACAGGTTCGATTCCCAGCATCCCATATGGTCCCCCGAGCACCGCCTGGAGCGATTCCTGAGTGCATGAGCCAGGAGTAACCCCTGAGCATCGCCGGGTGTGACCCAAAAAGGAAAAAAAATAAATAAAAAAGAAGTAAAGGCAACTGAGGTTTAAGTCATGTAAATATGATGGATGCCCAGGAGTAAATATTATTTGGAGTCAATTAACTTCCATGTTACGAAAGCATAGCATCAACTGTCTTCCTGTGTCTATATAAAAAGGCCATTGCTAAACCAGGCACGTGACATAAAGGAAAGAGAAAAGCAATATAAGATTATTGGTGCTTAATGGAATTGGATGTGCCTCGGGGGCACTGTTGTGGGAGTAATTCAGTAAACCTAAACTCCCTGAGGGAGGAGCAAGGATAACCCAATGTTGTCCAACATGAAACTGTATGCATTAACAGTATTATAAACATGCTACAGTTAAACATCTGAAGTGTCCACAGATGGATGGGTGGATAAAGAAGACACCATTTGTCTATATAATAGAATGTGACGTAGCCATAAAAGGGAGGGAATCTTGTTATTTATGACAACATGGATGAACTCTGAGGACTAATGCTAATGAAATTAATCATACAGAATGGAATACTGATTGATCTCATGTGGAATGTAATAAAAGCTAAACTTTAAACTGGGAACTGGTGAAATAGGGGGAAATGGTCATACGTATAAAATTCAAGTGATACTGTTCTGCATGGGAACTAATTAATATTGTATTGCAAGATTGAAAAGGGTTAAGAGTAGATCTTGAACGGTCTCATCACAAGAGGAAAAGCTATATATAGTGACAGATGTTAACTACATTCAATGTGATCACAATTTATTCAAATATTGAGTCACTCAGTTCTGTAAACAGACTCTGATCCCAATGTGGCCCAATAACCCTCTGGATCTGGATCTTTGTACCCTCTTGTGAAACCTTCATCTGCTCTCACATTACCCACATGATTGGTCTCAGCTGTTCTCCTTTAGGCCACCATTGGTAGCTCTGTTACAGATTAACTTTTTTTTTTTTTTTGGTTTTGGGTCACATAGGAGCTACTTTTGACACAATGCTCAGGTGTCCTTTCTGCTTGGTTTTAGGGCCACACCTGGTGGTGCTCAGGGGATCATCTGTTGTCTTGGTGAGTGACCTAAGGCAGGCTGTGTGCAGGACAAGTGCCTCAATCTCCTATGCTCTCTCTTAGGCCCCTAATTTCCGAATTCTATTTTTTTTTTCTTTTTGGGTCACATCCGGGTTACTCCTGGTGCTGCGCTCAGGAATTACTGGCGGTACTCAGGGGACCACACGGGATGCTGGGAATTGAACCTAGGTCGGCCTCATGCAAGGCAAACACCCTACATGCTGTGCTATCACTCTAGTCCCCTAATTTCCAAATTTTTTATACTAAAAACAACTGTTTTACACTCCACTCAGAACTCCCTTTCCTCTGATGAACAGACAGTGCATCTTGTTCATGGAGCAGTGCATGGCTGCTAAGACCCTGTGTCCTTCATAGAGATGGCTCCAGGTGGTTGGGTTTTCTTCCAGATAACTCTCCTCAGCCTTTCCTGGAGAGACAGACAGTGCCAGTCTAGTTTCCTGAAAGAGAAACCGCACAGTCATTCAAACAGGTCAAGTTGAATAAGTTGAATATGCAGAACAACTTTGTCTGGGTTTGGAGCAATGAGAAACTGGCTAGTAAGACACAAAGAGAACTCTAGAAATGTTGAAACGGGCAGTAGAGAGAGAGTGCAAGGGTGAAGGCACTAGCCCCTGCATTAGCCAGTGCCAGATCAATCCTCAAATATGGTCCCCAGTATCTCCAGAAGTGCCCTTGTGCATAGCCAGGTGTGGCCCCTCTTTCGGGCTGAGACAGAGTCTCCAAGGAAGAAATTCCAGTATCCCTGAGGTAGGAGAGGCTGTGGGGAAAACTGCTTTGAGAACAGGAAAGAGACCACAAGTCCGACAGCCTTGAGTTACCAAGTTCCCTTTACTCAGGTGCGGGGGGCCCCGCCAGACCACTCTCCGGCCTGCGGAGGTGGCCCTAGGATCCGTAGGTGCTGGGAAGGACTGACCGAATGAACACGAGACACAAGAGACAGAATGCAGCTCAGAAACAGAGAGAAAAAGGGACAGGACTTTATTGGGGGCAATCAGGGTATATATCCATTAGTGAGGCAGCTACACAAAAGGTCGTGCCCATATATGGTTAGGAAGGTTTGTTTTCACCTATCATGCATTACAAGGTTTATGTGTATCTGGTACCAGACACGAGGTGATTACACAAAGGCCATGTCCATATGATTTACCAGACATGAGGTAGATACACAAAGAGCCATGTCCATATGATTTATAAAATTTACATGCATCACGTACCAGACACAAGATAGTTACTTCTTGTTATTACTGACAGCCATGACAGATGTTCTCTCAGGATAACCATACATCAAGATAACCATACATAGCACTGGTTTTGCCTGTTGCAGGGTCACGTAGGTCAAGATGACCATACATAGCACAGGC